TAATCTGCAGACAAAATTTAAATCCTTCAGAATATTTAACATAAATCTAGAACATTTTCTTTCAATTGTTTATAGCCTATTGGTTAACAGATGGCAATCATTCGAAGTGGGATACTCATTTTTATTTGGCAAAGCAATTTATTTATTTTATATACATGGTATTATTTCTGTTTTATATGCTGTTATTTCAATAAATATGAAATCATTCTTATGCTCTTTAAATTATGAGTATGAATAATAAAGCAAACTATTGCATAAATGAAAGTATTTACTGCTAGGGAAATATTAACTTTACACAAATATTTCTAAAAAGTACTGCTTGTCAAAAGGCTGGAAATATGTGTTACCAGGATGATGCTTGGATCACTATTTAGTTTACACTATTCAATGATAACTATATACAATACAGTATATAACAGGAAGTTTTTATTGGAACTATATATAATACAGTATACAACAGGAAATTTTTATTGGACACACTTAATGTGATAAAACAGGGTGGGAGAAGCCTTTTTGAAATGATGGTAGCTTTTCTGAGTCATTAAATTCAGAAAATATACTGAAAATAGTATAGATAGAGTCTAAATAAATAATTTATTATAAATTTTCCCATCAGATTCTTTTTTATATGCTTCCTAAATTTCAAATGTTTCAACACATTAGCAACAAATTCGGATACATTTTTTTTATAACTGAACTAGAACCCATTTCTGCCCCACTTAAAATTGAAAACAGAAAATTAAAAGCTGATGTTTGCACTTCTGTGAATATGAAACATGCAAGAAAAAAGGAAAGTGAAAGATCATGCCATGTGCCAAATTAATTATAAAGTGTATTGATTTATATAAGATGATAATAATACTTGAACACTTAAAAATTTTTCAACAATTTTACATGCAATTACATCAAGTTATATAGAACATGCAAAAGTGTTCTACACAAAATTGACTTTTAAAAGAGGCACTTTGGTAGAACATAGATAATGATACCACCTTGAACCTTATTTTATAGAAAAATAAATATTAATTACTTTAATTTTACCTTATCAGTATTGATTTTATGTGCAAAAATCATTGTTGAAATGAGCAAGTAATTTATTGCTAATTATGTTAATATTCCTACAGTACTTAAGATCAATAATAAGATTTACAGATAAATACAGTTTCTTAAATGAAAAAATATACATTCTATTCCTCCATTGCCTTTTTTTAATTCTTCTGACATGAAACTTGTTATCAAGATTTAAGAAGTAAGGTAATAAGAAAGAAATTTTTAACATCACTTTTAATCACAACCTGCTATATTAAGAACTGACAAAGTCTTATATGAAAAGTCAGATTTCTGTAAATAGCAAATATTTATTAAACAGTATTGTTTAAGGATAAAATTCTGTAAAAACGATGCAATTTTTGCATCATATATTTAAAAATACTAAAAGAACTCTTAAAAATTATGATTATGTATTTTCTTTATGGCTATTTTTCAATATAAAAATTAAATAAATTAAAATTTACAATTTTATTTAATTATTTGTTTAATTATTATTAGTTTGTTAAAAATAATATAATTCAAAAGTCCTGGCTTTTAACTTTCAATATTACTTAACATTAAACATATATAAAGCTTTTGCATTAAAATTATAAAACTGTTTTTTAAATATAGAGTAAGCTTTCCACTGTAATTAAGATTAAAGGTGGCAAATTTCAATGCAATTTTTACAAACCAATATCAGAAAAATAAACTGCAAAAGGATATTATTAAAATAACTTATGCAAACAAAATATTTTTTCTAATACTCAATAAATAATTATAAGTAATGGGAGATAAAATAAGGATACAAAACTGCTCTTGAAAGCAAGACCATAATCATTATTCCCATGAAATATTTTAAGATGAATTTGATTACACTAATTTTATATTACAGTGTTATAAAAATAAAATTTATTATTTTCGAAGGATAAAAACATATTTTAATAATCATTTCTTTGTTTTTTTATACATAATGCCATACCTATGAACTAGAAAACAATTTCTCTCTTCAAAAATAATCTGAACAATATATAATAAGAAGCCTTTAAAAACAATAGTACAAGAGCATTGCATTATTTGAAATAATTCATGAGATAATGACTATAACCTAATAAAAGTTTGAGGATAAAAATTCTTCCAAATATAATATAAGAATACACAGACACGCGAAATAATCAAACATTTATCAGATAACAACGCTATATAAATTAAAGAAAGCAGCATAATTGTAAATTGTAAATAGAGCAAGTTGCAAAACAGAAAATATTACTTAAACAATATTGCCCTGCCAGCAGTACATTTCAAATGTCATTAGTATGAAAGGAACAAAGTACAAAAATAGATTCATATACATCAAGATGCTATCTATAATTCAGGTATATATGGCAAAGAAAAGAAGTAAATGACAATCTAGCATTAATTCTAAAGCAATTCTAACGATGTTACTGTGGTAAAAAGAAATAGAGTATTAAACATAAAAATAATGAAAGAGAAACAAAAAAGTACAAGAGCAAGAAAGCTTCCCAGTGGTGACATTGCACACTTAATTTGAAAGAAAATTGAATATAACATAATTGAAATATCTAATTAAATTAAATAACTTAAAAAATTCCCAACAATACAAAACAATTACAAATACAATGAAATGGCAAAAAAGTTTTAATAAATAGCCTGCTGCAGAAAAATGTAAAAAATTTTGAATTGTCTATAGTCCGAATATAAATGTACAGGTTAATTAATGATAGTGGAAAGAAGAATCAGTTTTCCCTCTACCATAGCCCACTCTCTTTTTCTCTCATTTTCCCCATTTTGCCATATATAAATGGCAGATAAAACCAGCGTAACAGATATCAGCTTTACTTTCAAAACAAAATCAATCTCAATGGGCAATGGGTTGCTATCCACAATGACAAAAAATTAATCTGACTAATGTGCTAATTTAATAAGTGCCTTATAAGATGCCAGTATAAAAATTATAACAACTGTTACACCTGATGTAAGGGAATCTATTGCCTTTTGAAATGCATTGAGCACCTTTTTTTAATGAAATTAACGCTAAATAAAAGCTGAATTTTGACAGCATAATAGTCTTTGGTAAGTTATTTATTTTATCTAATTATCTGAATTACTAAACATATCTACTTGAGTAAAAAATAGCTCTGAATTACTGAATACATGTCTGCTTCAGCAACAATTAATCAATACAACATAAATTTAAATGTATTTTAGTATTAAAAACTAATGTTTTAGCAATAATGTTAATAGGAATATCAGATTAGCTATATTTAAGATATATGCCAAACAGTAATCTTGAGAATAAAACATACTGAAAAAATAATTTATATGGTATATATATATATATATATATATATATATATATGTATGGCTGTTCCCATTTTTTTTATCATACAACCGTCTTGTGCAGGCTAGGAGGATCGGGGGCTGTGCCCTTATAATAATAATAATAATAATAATAATAAATATATGTGTGTGTGTGTGTGTGATGATAAGATTTAGTTCCTTGCAGTAAACTGATGAGAGAGGAGTGATTTGACTAAGGAAGACATTATTTTGTAGTCGCGAGTAGATTCACGATTAGAAGGTCACTGAAAATATCAATTACGTAAAACCCAAATTACCCAAATTAAAAATAAGCAATCAAGAGGCTTTTTAAGTTATAATTTTGATTTGCATTTCAAATCCTGCCAACTAAACTGGGATGATAAGATTTAGTTCCATGCAGTAAATTGATGAGAGATGAGTGCTTGACTAGTTAAGACATTATTTTGCAGTTGCAAGTGGATTGAGGATTAGAAGATCACTGAAAATTTCAATTATGTAGCAGAAGACAACAGGAACTTTTGAAGAAACACAAAATCACTTGATATTTCAAAAATATCTTCATTACTTGTTGCATTTCACAATGGGGCCAATCCGCACCCCACAATTTTGCTGACGGTGCATTACATTTTTAACAAAAGCACTCAAGCAAGAGATGTCCTTTAGCTAGCAAGGATAGGCAGTGAAAGAGGGGGGCAGTATTTGGGTTACAACAGTATTTACAATAAAATGTTTTATTAATTTCATTGGCTAAAATTTATAGGCAATGCAGAAGTTTTAAGATAATATAATGTGGAATTAGTTTTCAGATATGCCACAGTTTAGAGTTAATACTAGCAAGAATAGCAATCAAGAGGGTTTTTAAGTTAATAATTTTGATTTGCATATTTTTTATCTTACACATACACACACACACATAAGTTCAAACCACAATTCAAGCAAGCAAATTACACCTGTGGTAATAAAAAGGCCTTTAGAATTACTTTTATATATTCTTTTTGATTAAATTATATGGGGGGGGGAGTTTTAAAAATTGGAAAATTTACTAATAATAATATAATATTCTATTCAGATAATTTTTTCTATTCTATTCAGAAAAAAAAAGTTTTACAAAAATGATATACAATGAGATAAAATTCAAAGCTAGCAAAGAAAGTAAGCTTACTTATAAAACAATTACATTATAATTAATTTTTAAGTATGAGATATTAAAACAATGTCACCACAGCAAAAGATTTCAGCTGATAAGTTATATAAGAGCATTTAAGCATTAGAAGAATTTCAGAGAAAAGCTACTAAAAATGATATAGAAATAACTGAGCAGATGCAGAATGAAGCATATATATATATATATATATATATAGATATATATATATATAAGCATTATAATGTATAGGTATAAATGTACTAAAATAGAATAAATAAATAAATATAGAACATAAAAATTTAAAAAAAAAAAAAAATAAAATAAATATTCTCTTTCAGCTTTTAAAGTCTTATCATTTACAAGTTAAAACTGTTAAGTACACATCAAAATAATAATAAACATAAATCTTAAGGATGAAAAAAATATAGGTGAATTTTCTGAAAAATAATTTTAAAAAACTTAAAAAAATGCATTTGCCACTGACCTGTGTTTGAAGACGTGTTAGACCTCTGATCCATAGGATCTGTCCAGTTCTTTTTACATCTTGTGATAGAGATCCACTGCTGCCATCTTCTACAAATGATGCACTTCCTACCATTTCCTCAGGAGGTCCAGAGCCCCACGTGAAAGTCTTAGGTATACGCTTTGTTGGAATAGAAGTGATTAACTGCCCCCAAACTAGAGTACCACATCCCAAGAATACACACCATAGCCACTGATCAATGGTAAGGGTAGCAGTAGAAAAGGCATAACCTCCATATTGAATGATAACCACCTAAAAATATTTCATTTTATTAAAAAATATGAGTAACTTAATAAAAACAAAATAATTTTTTAATATTTACCAACACTACAATGTCAGCTTTATGTAATCATTAGTTATAATAATCCTTTAAACTAGCATTCAACGAATTAATACAAATAAAAAATTACAAGGACTGTGCATAAAATTCAGCTTTTAGAACAATGAAGAAATTTCATTTAATCTTATATTTTACTTGCAATGTAGAGATACCTGGGCTGCAGCAGTGATGACTAAAATACTGTAAAATATGGGATTTGTTAATAAACCCTCAAATATATTTCGCTCTCCATGAATTTTTCTTGCATTAATTTCATTGAAAAGAGTCATCATCACAAAAGTGTTGAATATGATAGTAAAATGTTCAGAAGGCTTAGCATGAAGAGGAGCATTCAATCCAGAATCAATATCAAAAATTTTATCCCCTAAAATAAAAGAAAAATTTCTATGTTAAAAGTTCAAGGTACTTAAATAAATTTCCATTTATTTTTTAAATTAATATAAAGTAAATAAGACAGTATTTGCACATTATTATTTTTATATTATGGTACAAAAGGTCTGCAATTATTATAACATCAACAATGGAAAGGTTATAAAAGTAGTGCCTGCCTATAAGCTCTAATATAAAGCTTCCTTAATCTCCTTTTTTCACATTATCCAAAATGATATCATGTTTAAACTTTAATATACAGCAAATTTAAAATAGCATTTAAACCAAAACTCATAAAAAATCATGGCTTATTAATTAAGAGGAAACTAGCACACTATGTAGAATCGCCACAAAAATAATCAACATAATCCCACCAGTCACTGCATAATAAACTCCTGAGGTTTGGGTAATTAATCCAAATAGTTAGATGCATTAATTATAATAAATCTTTAACATATTAATAATAAACTTCTGAGATTTGGGTAATTAATCTAATCAGTTAACTGAATTAATTATTATATATCTTAAACATATTATAGAGGTCTATTAACCTTAGGAGTTTCACATTGCATTTTGGATGTGCTCATGAACAGCTAGTTATATGTAAAGATTAATTATTAGTTAGATTTGTATAATTACTCCTTATTTTTTGTTATTATAACTTTCTATTTATAAGAATGAATTTTAAATCACTAAAAAAGTAAGAAACCAAAATATTCTTAATTTTTGCATTTGGTAAAGTTTTGCTAAGAAATATTTGTCATAGTACTGAATCATTTTGCATATTGTTTTTCCTTTAAACACCTGCTAGCTAGCAAACCACATTTAAATTTTTGACCACTTAATGGTTGTGGAGGACAACATTTTCTACCTTATCTAGCTTTATACACAATAACTGAAGCTCAAAGACCCATATTTATTTGAAGTGGAATGATGTTGTGCTCTACCTTAACTTTCTGATTTGGTTCAACTTTTTATTTTGTTCAATCTATATTTATTAACCTTGGAAAATTAGAGTTTTACTAATGATAAAGAGCTATTTCACACTTTCCTTAAAACAGTACACCAATCAGCCAATGAATATAAAGAAGCCTTTTTAAAATAGTTGAGCAGCAAGACCATTTAAGAATTCTTCAAGTATTTTAGTATAAAACATCACGTGGTGTAGTTTCACGCATAAAAGTATCTACAGATATTTTTAAAAGTGCTTGGCATAGTTTATAGTAAGCTACTGAATTATGATGATAATAGCCCTGAATTTGGAGGTTTCTATATAAATATAAAGTAAAAAACAAAATTTTCTGACTGAAGGATGTAAAGAAATGTTAAATGCAGATGATATAACTGAAATCTTCCATCACAGTGCAGTAACCTAATCTATGCTCCAATATGATTAACCAGTTAATGGAATGATGAAATCTGTAGTATGGTCTTAAATCCAGGAAATATTGCCATTTCTTCTTAAAATCAGATTTTAATTTTCATGAAGTATTTATTCAAGCACAGTATTTCTTGGTGCAGAATGTCTCTTGTACATCTTTCAGCAATCCCAAATCGTGAAAATCCATTTCAACATAAAAAAAGACTTATGATTAGATAAAAAAAATATAGTATGAATGCCATCTGGCATGGCTATAAAGGTGGAAAAAATTTTTTTATTTATGGAATATATGAAGAAATAAAAAAAAAAAAAAAAAAGAGATGATGATGATATATATAGTTAAAGTTTTCATTGCAATTACAATAGCCCAATGTACAGTTAAAAAAGAGTAAAATCTGTAGTATATGGTTTTAAATAGAGAAAATATTACCATTGATAGTGAAGAAGTGACAAAATTTTGTTGAGAATGAAAAGATTTCAATTAATAATTTTTAGTCAGAAGTCTTGACATTAACAAAAAGTTAAATTTCTTTATAAAACTAAAAAAAAAGTATCAACGCAAAAAAAAAAAAAAAAAAAAAAAAAAAAAAAAAAAAAAACCACTAAAGTACTTATATTGAAAGAAATGTTTAATTAAGCTAAATACACATTAAGCTTGAGTTTTTTTTCTTTTTTCGGTAAATTTTGATTCCATTAATGTCATATTATTTCACAGATAACTATTTCATATTTGTAATTTTCAAATTTCTACATGTCATTTAACTAGATATAAATTAATAACCTAAATTCCAAAAAAATTTTAATTCCAGAACCCACGAATTACCGAAAATTCTGGATCTTGGACTTTGAACTGCACCAATAAAAGCTGAGCAAATATCAGAGTTATAAGTAATCTGAAAATTCACTGAATTGTTTGCTACTAAAACTAAGATGCAATGCAGTTGGGGCTTTCTGTCTGTCAACAGGACATGGTTGCCTTACCACCTATTTGCACCGCATAAGCATTTCCACCGATCCTATTTGCCCACTCTGTGATTCTGGAGAAGAAATGAACAGGAACCACCTGCTTTGATGCGGGGATCTTCGTGGTCTTACAAAATGGTCGAGGTACTCGGAGGCAAGAACACTCTTTAGGCAATCACTTCGGTACTTTTGTTCTTAGTTCTATTTATAACCTTTGTTTATAAAGTTTTAATTCCTGGTAATTTTTTGCCTAGCCATTAGAAATAAAAACCTATCTACCTTTATGTCCCGAGCTCTACAAAAATGGTTATTACTATTATTGGTACTATCATATTATCCACCCAATCTTGAGAAGAATCAACTGTGCAACTTTATGAAAATGTATTTATCTGGTAATCCACTAATGCATAATGCCATCAGCTATCCTCATAGTGGTGGTGGTGGTGGTAATTTGTGTGGTTTTGAAATTCAAGGATCATATTTGAAGTTTCTCCTTGTTGTGATTAGTTTGTGGAGTTCTTCCCCCTTCTTGTAAGGAATCAAGAGTTACTGGAAAAAAAGCATTGAATTTTTTTTTTTTTTTTCAGAAATATGGCATTTTACCTACTAAAAGAGAGAGCAGAAATAAACATTTCATGAAATTAATTTCTGCAATTCCTTCTCTAACTCCTTTTAAGGTTAAAACAACTTAATGCATACATGGAGAGCAGTTCCAGTTTGCTCTGCAATGCCAAGAATTCTCCAATTTTTCTTTCTTTCTTTCCTTTTTTAATTTTTTTAAATTAAGTTAACAAACTCACTATGTCTAGGTATTATTAAGTTCTTCTTTTATTGTGTGCTTGCTAAGAGCAATCACTATAATGTAGTCTTGTAAGGTAGTTCTGTTTTTGTTTTAAATTTTGTTACAAATTATACAAAAATGTATGTGGCCACAAACACAAAACAAATAAATAAATAAGTAAGTAACACAATAATGCAATAAAAATAATTTAAAAATGTACAGACCTATAGAAAAATATGTCAGCAACAAAAAAGGATAATTTCTAAATCATTAGGTGGAAATACAACAAAATAATAAAGATTAATATGAAAATTATAATTTCATATAAAAGAACATGCTCACCAGCAAAAAGAAGAGTAAATATAACTGCAAGTTGATAAATAGCATGACCTAAAATATTTTTCATCATTGTTCGTGAGATTAAAGGTTTTGATCGTCCATAAGGCTTTCTTAACAACAAATCAGGTGTTGGCATCTCTGTTGCCAAGGCAAGGGAAGCAAGAGTGTCCATAATAAGGTTAACCCATAACATCTGAACAGCTTTTAAAGGACTGTCCTATATAAAAAATAAATAAATAAAAGCTTCAAATAACAAATAAGAAATGTTAAGCCATAAGAAATAAGAAGCCATAAGAAATGTGATAAATATAAGGCAGTACACATATTGAGTCATAGGAAAAGAATATAGCTGTTATCTTTTACTAGCAAAACCCTTCTGCATAAGAACTAGAATCTGATCAGTCAGTTTATTTACTAAATTTTTTGGTTAACCCAACAAAAGCATTACAATGTGATTTTAACATCATAATATTGTATTGCTACTGAGCATACAATGTTATATTTACTATAAAACTAAAGCATTTTATAAGCACTTCTCTATAATGGGAGGTGGGAGTTCAGGAATCAACAGTACTTTTTTTTTTTTTTTTTTTTTTTGTTTGTTGTTGTTTATTTACACTGCTGGTCCTATAGTATCCTGAAAAAGCTACATCATAAAGGTGCACCATGAAATTTGCACCCTGCATATAAATTGAAAGGACATATAAATGATAAGCATTGCAATGCATATATAAATCATATACACTAGTAAAGCCACATAGAAACAAACTGAAAAAGAAATAACAGTAGGTTGTTTTATGTGCTGAGATCGTATGTCTAAGAAGCTGCAGCATGCTTTGCTGGAAAAAAAAGCTAGTTATTTGAAAGAGTTTCTGGGTTTGACAAAGGGAGAAATTGTCATTTATACGGACAGCAGATTATTATTCCAAGGAAATAGTAATTGTATTGGACAATTAAGCCAAAGTGATGTGAATATGGAGTCGGAAGATGCAAGAGAGGAATAACAGGAATGATTGCACCAGTTAGGAACGAGAGGACAGGCACATTATGAACATGGCAATTAGAGATCACACAGTAGCATTAAGATAACTACCATAAGAATTAGAGGCTGTTGTAGAATAACCTGTATCAGTACATCCATTCAAAAGAAAACCTTAATATGATACTGCCTTTTCAGATAAATCTTGATTTTAATTGCAATACCCAGATGGTCATTTCCATATTCCGCAACATATGCATTGTATGTGCATGCAATGATCAACAATTGTTCATGGTCCAACAGATTATACTGCTGTCTTAGTCCACCTTTCTCCCATTATGTCATAGAACATATCTGGTCAATGATTATCAAATCAGTGGCCTAGCATGCATCATCTGTGGAGATCTAGTGATGCCAGATGAAATTTAGCAATGTTAGAAAAAAACATACAGTGACATACCACAAGCATATCTTCAAACTCTCTTTTATTCAGCACTGAGTTGTATCATAACAACTGTTGCTAGTGAAGATAGTTACACAAAATATTGATTTCTTTATATTCCACTAGTTGAACAAAGCTGTAATTCAAGTCAATCTATCCTTCACTAATGTATCTTATATTATTTGCCAATTCATTACAGATTTGATATCTCTTAATTTTCATGGTCTTGCATTCTGCATGGTCAGCAGTGTATATTCATGTTTGAAGATTCTCATTTATTGACATACAGTGTATATTTGAGATACATATATAGGAATATATAGCAACATATATGCATTTTTTGATAATGTCGAGAAACTACTAACTTAATACAAAATCCTACACTGTTTTTAGCCACTAACTCATTTCTCTGATAAAGCTTCTCTTGTTGCATTAATAAATTTGAGTTGTACTTCAAGTATCAGATAAAAAAAATGGTTATCAATAAATTTTCCTGACAGTTTCATTTAAATAATCAATGAAAAAAAAAAAAAAAAAAAAAAAAAAAAAAAACTGAAAATCATAAAATGTACTGCATGAAAGCAAGCTATAGGGTACTTCAACATATCATTTTATATAGATATTACCTCAATTGCACATGCTCCAACAAAAGCTACAATAACAGCAACAACATTTACAGTTAGTTGAAACTGAAGGAATTTTGCAATACTGTCATAAACGTTTCGACCCCACATAACCGCCTTTACAATACTTGTAAAATTATCATCAGTCAGAATAATGTCTGAAGCTTCTTTAGCAACATCAGTGCCTGCAATACCCTGGGAAAAAAATATGAGTAAAAAGTTAAGAGATAAAATATTTTTAAATCTCTGCAACATATGCAAATAACTGTATTACAAAAAGGATTACATAAAAAAGTGCAACAAAAATTATATAACAAATTATATAAAAAAAATTAACGAAAATACAGGTAAAGAAAATCCAAGAAAACAAAGAATATTACCTAAATAAATAAATACTTATTTCCTGCCTGAAAGAATTTTAAAAGTGTAATTTCAAAACTGCTATTTATAAATTTTTCAGAGAATAAAGAATATATTGCTCCAGATTTTTAACACAATATCTATGCTTCTTTTTTTTATATTATTAAATTTAATAAACTGGATAATTAACACTAATTCTTTCAAAAATAATCATTAAAAATTATAAACTGCAACCAAATTTTGAATAAATATTAGTTTATTAGTTCTTAAAAAAATCTAGGAATTTAAATACTATGTAGGGAAGCTAGGGGCTAGTTGCAACAGGGGTAAGTAGCAACACATGCATTGCACAATTTTTTAAAAAACTTTTATCAGAATGAAATTCTGAGTGCTAAACATGATTTTTATGATGGGCCTTATTCACAGTCAATATCCTACTGAAACAGGCAGTTCAAGGTTACATGCACATGTTCCGTTTAGCAAGTTTATGGGGGGGGGAATTGCTAAATTTTGATTAAAAGTAAGTTAATTGGTCTTTTTTAAAATGGTTTTATCAATATATTAAGTTTCAAGCTGCTGATTAATTTTTTGTATTAATCGCAATATTTTTTGTAAATTAACAAAATGTCCGAAACATACAATGGGGCAAGTTGTAGCATGGTATAAATTGCCCCGAGTTCTTGATTCATTCACAGACCTTCTGTGAATAGTAATATGTAAATTACATTTTTTTATTTAGCCTTTTTTCCTAAAACATAAAATAGATTTTTCATCCTCAAAGATACACCTCTCCTTAAAGCTTCACCTTAGCAGTCTTACAGAGGCCAATGCAAAAAGGAAATTGCCATCCTAATAGATACATCTGAAAAAGAACATGAAGAGATAACTAATAATAAATGATAAAAAGAAGAAAAAGTTTAGGGATATGAAAAGGTTAAAAAAAGAGACTCTAAAAAGAAATATGAGATAAAATGGGCAAAGAGGATTTTGAACTCTGATACAGACTTTGAAACAGAAAAGTGGTTCCGCTTAAGTTAGGAAGTTGCTAACAACTCTGATGAAGAAGAATGCATGGAGTGCCTAATTTGCCAAATGTGAGTTCACATTAAATATGTGAGAGGAAACAATCTATCATTTATTTGTGTTAACTGAAATTCTGATGAAGAATGACATTTATGTTGATTGATTAAATAATTTTATCTTTGTTTTTCTATAAACAACTTTATATCATTTAGTGTCACTATATCAAGTAATAATAATCACCAATTTTTTTTTAATATGGTTGTGTTTCTTATTACTATTTGCACCACACACGTTACAGTTTTCTTTAGGTAAAAAATTTTTTTAGGCTAAAATCACAAAAGTGTTAAATGTTTTGAGAATATGATAAAGGAATAGTTATACTGTAAAAAGTAGCAGTTCAGTTATCAAGAAATCATTAAACAGAGTACTTTATTAATGAAATAGGATTAACATGTATATAAAAAGTAGTAGGAAAACATCTTTAAAACTATCAATGTTATAAAATAAAAACTGATTTTATTAAAGTGATTAAACAGAATCGCAGAAAAATTGCTTTCCTATTTGTAAAAACATTAAAATCTGCATAACAAACATGTTTACTATTTCTATGTTACATCTAATGAAAATGATTTCAGTGAAACTGTGAAGACAAAAAAGGAGTTTCACTGATATATTGTTAGCTACAATAAGAGCCTAAGAAAACAAGATGAACAAAAATTATGGAGATGAAGTTGTATCTTTTAAGAGCATTTATGAATGGTTTAAATGTTTTTAGGATGGATGAAGACGCTAAAGATGCTGCTCAATGTGGTAGGCCTATGGCTTCTCGTAGTGATGAAAACATAGAAAAAGTGAATAAAATTTCAACTAGAAAAAGCAATAATGAATGCTAACACATACAAAGGATGTTCTGGAAAATTTATTGCAAAGGATTCATTGTGCACATCCAGAATATGCTATAAGTTAGTTCATGGTTCTTTTTTCATGATAGTTTCTGGCCACATTTGGCCTTCAACAGGAAGCAATTTATGACCCATAGAAGAGCTGTAGCTCTTAATCACCTACAGTAGTACACGATCTTCTTCAACAGATTTCTTTCTGTTTCCAAACCTGAAATAAGCTCTAAAATGTGAATGATTTTTGGATTATCCAGATGTTCAAAGCCATGCCATGAGAGTTCTTCAAATAATACTGAAAGTGAATTTTGTCTGAAACTCAGCCAGCAGGACTTTGCCTGTTAAATTAATTAAGAAAAATAGTAGTGTAAACAAAATACATAACTGGTAATATGAAGCAACAATATATCATACATACCATAGCAAAACCAACATCAGCTTTTTTTAGTGCAGGCCCATCATTAGTTCCATCACCAGTTACAGCCACAACTTCTCTATTTTGATTCAATTTACTATCTATAATACCCTTCACAAGAGTATACTTATCCTGAGGAGAAGATCTTGCTAACACCCTAAGTCTTGGCCATACTTTATCAAATAAATGTTGCTGAAACTAATAACAAAAGTCACTTTATGAACAGTAAGTTAAAAAATAATCAATTCATTAAAACATTAATTAAACAATCCATTAAATAGAAAGAGTCTTACTAACTGATTTATGTGAATTAAGAATGATTTTAATCACTGGTGCTGATTTTTTTTAATGATTACAAATACTCAAAACATAAAACAAGAAAATTACAAAGCAGACAGCTGGTTTTGTGTCAAAAAATGAATTTTTGCAGATGATTAAGTTAAAAACGTTTTGTTTCTATATTTGCATATAGAATGTAAGAGAAATTTTAACTTTAAAATCAAATACAATAATTTAGATAAAGAGTAGGGGTTTAACATACTATTTAAAATAACATAGAGATGATACTTTCTCCATTCCCTCCAAAACAATCAGAACCATAAATTTTAAGCATGCATTGTAAAGCTCAAAAGATTCAGAAAAAACATATTGCAAGACTAAGCATTCTCCAAAACTAACACTCAATATTTAAAATGACAATTCATCATTACAAAACAGTTTTAATCTTTTTAAATTTAATAAAAATGTTAAAGAGAGAAAAAAGGAAGATAAAAATCTAAACAAGATTTTGCAGCTAATATTAATTTTGTTAGAAACATTCAAATATTTAAATGCTATATTGATTAAATGCTATTTGCAAATAAACTTCATTAAAATAAAACTTAAATGGGTAAATTATAAATTTCAATAAATACAAGTAATGTAATCTCAATGAATAAAATTTTAAAAACTTCCCTTATGCCCTTTTGTAAAGTTTAAGTAAAATTAACAATGATATTGATAAAATACTTCATTATACATATCAAATGCAACTTCATTAAAGTAAAAATAGCATACACTATTACATATTTATTAATTTATTCTCCATTATGCATAATCTATGAACTTGAATGATTAAAAACTAATGACAACTTTCTTGTAGTCTAATACCTTGGTTTGGCAGACCTTGCAATAAATGAATCATCAATTTATACATCATACTATTGCATAAACATTATGTTGTTATGAAATGCCCAGCAAGGCAGATTAGGGTTGCCAGAAAATCACAAGGGAAGGCAATGTTGCTAGATTTGGCATGAGATCACCCATTTGGCAACAAAATTGATAATATGCCATCGACGGGCGAACATTCTAGAATGAATTCTTACCGGTTTAGCCCAGAATGTTCCCAAAGGCAGGCCAAAAGCTATATAAACCCTGCCCGTAAGTGGAGTAGCAGCGTATCACGAGTTAGAGCATCGAGAGTTCTGAATTGAGCATACGTTGAGTTCCTAAAATGAGCGAACCGAGTCAGGAGCTGCACTCTAGTGTTTTGCAGTGAAGTTGTCTTCACCATTATAGCCTGTGTTGCTGATTGTTTCAGGGTGTTTGTCATAGTTTTTTCATGACTGTAAATGTGTTTATGGGGCTGTCCAGAGTAATACCGGCTAATAAATTGTGTTTTCATTCTTCATCAAGTGTTTTCATCAATCACTCCAAATCCACGAACTCATAGAATGCAATAATATATCAATTTTCTTTCAAAATTTACCTCATTGTCATAAGACATACCATTAAAGCCATAAGACATACCATTAAAGCCATTTCAGGCATTTAAAACAGATGATCATACACATGAGTTAATATCCAGAAGTTTGCAAAACTGAGCAAATACACTCTAATCACTTAAGATCATACCCATACAGCCGGACACAGTTCTGCATGCATCAAATACAAGTAATGTGTAGCATACAATATTTAGTAATTAAATCATTTTAGTCTGTGAATAGCTCCTAACATTACATTTGCTATGCACAAATTTATATTTTTATGATGCACGAATAAAGATGATGTAAAAACATGTGCATATGAAATTTTCTGATAAATATTATACACATAACTAAAAAAATGCTTCAAGAAACACTATGTAAGAATGCTCTAAAATACACAGGAAGTTACAAGTGATTTAACTATTTCCTAGTTGATGGCTGTTATTTAAAGTTGACAATCACTACAAACACATTCATCAGTGTAATGCTATAGGAAGTTGCAGAAATGAGTACAGAAAGTTTAAGGAAGATGACTAAAGAAGTGAAGTAAATTTGATGGGCTACTTTATGGAACATGTTATGAATTTTACCAGATGCCCTCATCTTGAGGAAGATAATTGCAAATAAACTTTTAACATATCTCTTGAATGTTCAAGTGAAACTACAACATTCAACTACAGTATGAAGTCTAAAATCTGGATGTCTAATGTCCAGAATGATCTAATATCTGGACCTCTAGACCAGTAACAATAAAAAATTGCTTTTATGTGTTTTGAGAATTTTTTTTTTTTTTTTTTTCCTTACAAAGTTTATGAATAGAAAATAAAATGCTTAAAACATTGGCGTAAAATAAAAGAAATTTTTCTTCTGACTAACAGAGATTTACTATATGTCGCTTTTAATCACTGCCGCCCAGACGGTATAGTAGTTAGGGAAGCCTGACTGCGACACCAAAAGGGCCAGGTTCAAATCCCAGTAAAGGCATGGATGTGTCTTTCTCTTCATAGGAGGTAACGGGGGCCACCAATTAGGTGCCTTCACAATAAAATGGTCACCAATTCTGGCTGGAAAATCCTACTGTGGCCAATGACATACACTGATCAGTGCCATGTTTCCCCCCCCCTTAAGAGGATTACGTATGAAGAAATATTATAATCCTCTCTAAGGCATGAATGATGGTGGTGGTCATCTCAGAGAGGTGAAGTTCAGTAATTTTTATTTATGATCTCGGAAATGCTTTCAGAAGTGTTAATTATACGAAAGTAGTGGTCATAATAGTATTTATTGCATTATGAATATGAAGACTAATAAGTACAATAATGGTTAAAATGCTCTAATAAATTTATATAAAAAAAGAAGGAAGTCAAAGTGATCATATTATAATAAATATTTTTTTTTAATCTAATTAATTTAATTTTTTTAATCTTTAAGGTCAGCAAAACAGATTACTACTTATTTTTATTATTAATCATTTTAAAATTATATAATACAGTACAAAGTCCAAGATCCATAATCGTGAGAACTTTAGAAATTTCAGATTTTGTAATTTTTTTGATTTTTTTAAACACCATTTTAAATTTTGTAGAGCACACATGTAGATAGGGCAACACTGCAGCTTTTGTTTAAGTCAGATAAAAAAATGCTTTCCCCCAGTCAGAGTCGGAGCAGGTGCAGCCGCACTGGGTATCAGAATTTTTAGAATTTAGGAAAAACAGTGGATAATAGAATTTAAGAGCAACAACGCTTTTAGAATTTAGGGATGTACTGAATAGCATAATTTAGGACTTGCAGAAACTGCAACAGGGCAAAATGCATAGCGGCGGCTCTGACTTAGCCTCTCAAGGGTTGAAAGTGCAACTCTCGCTGACATTAATACAATATCAATCAATGCATTGTTATTAGCCACAAAGCGACTTTCCAGCCAGCAGGTGTTTGAAAGTAACATGCAGAAATCTCAGTTAGTCCAGGGAATAATCATATTTATGAAAGAAGAACAACCTTCTGTTTCTTCTTGTCATATTCTCCATTCGTAGAATTTGCAAAAAGAGGGCCATATATTTTATAATTTTAATCTTTTTTTTTTTTTTTTTTTTTTTTTGTCTGTTGATCTTAGATGTAGGGATAATGGCCACTTGAAGTTAAGATTTCATACTGCATTCCACTTTGGAATGACAAGTATAATGTCTCATACCTGTACAGATGAGAATATACAGAGTTAATCTAACTTTTATCATTATTTTTGAATCTTTTGAAAATATATTATTCCAAAGAATATGGTAGACAAGTGATCTAGACCATAGGATTGTGATAATAGCAGTTGATGAGCACACAGTTAAAAAAATAGCTTCAGAGTTTGTTAGAATATGTTCCATAATGATCTTCTGCATGAAAAACAGTTTCCTCTTATCACTTTCCTCTCCATACTTGAAACAACTTCATCAATATATTTCACTTAGAATTCTTTCATGAACTAAAACATAGCAATAACAGTTAAATTAAATTTTGCTTTTAAGAATCATGAGAAAAATTAGACTCCTTATGATCTGTCACCAGTAGTTAACAGTATGCCTACAGCAGGAAGGAGAAAAGTGAAAAGAAGTTAATCTTTCCTGGCACAGAGCCAATACAATTTGAGATCCCTCTTTCACGTGAAAACCTTACCACACTTGAATGGCGTTCAGTTTCAAAAGTGATAAAGTGGTGTTCCTTTTAATACATTTGAATGTAAGGTAAAATGCAATTGAATGTGCTAATGTATAAAATGTTACGGAACTAGGCTAGTCCCTGTAGTTCACTGACAACATGCCACTAACATTGCTTGACACTGTACTGATTTTAACTAGGACTGTTCTTTCAGCACTCGAGTGGTGTGTATTTAGGGGAATAACATTTTTCTACCTAACCTAAACAATAAGTGAAGCTTGAAGACATATTATTTGGAGTGAGATGTTGCTCATACTGACTTTCTTTTGTTTGCATAGCAGTGGGGAAAAGGAGAAAAAATTAGGTTTCAAGGAATTCAGTCAACATCTCAAATTATGTTCTTCCTTTAACTTACAGATTTGAAGCCTCCTAAACTGTAACTCCATCAATCAGCCAATGCATATCAGATTTTCCATGCACTGAAATGCAGACATAAAGTACCTTTTTTAAAAACTGATGCAACAGTACGGCCATCAAACCATCGAAGAATTCTAGAAATATTTTAAGATAAAATTTTATGTGTGGGGCCTTACAAGGTCATGAGAGGACATGCCTGCAGATATTTTTTTTAAATGCTTGACATAATTTATAGCCAGCTACCAAAATTCCTGATGTAATCAGATGTGAATCTGAAAGTTCTAAAATATTACAAGAGAAATTTTTTGACTGGAATATGGGAAATATATATGTATGGGAATTTCCTTCCCATATGCATATTTTTCTTACATAGAATCACTTAAAATTAAATATTAATTAATGAACCAGTTGTCCAAAATTTAAAAAAAGGGCTAATCTTTGGAATATGGTAACAGGTAGTTTGGCGACATTTTGGTAAGGCAATAAATGTTACTAGGTAGGACTTTAGCAGTGTACATGGATAAAGTCAAGAGTGTGCGCAATGTCATTTTTGTGCAATTCTGGGATGTTTTTTTAAGTGAAAATAGATCGACGTATACACGGATGATACCGTGTATGTGCAATTCTTAAAAACGCGGTAAGCAGTTTGTGATTCTGCATTTTCTCCCAATTTCGCACCTAATCTTCGTCATGATTAAGCATTAAAAAAAAATCGTGCCTTTACTTCGTGAAAACAAAATGGCGTCCAAAACAAAAATAGCAGATTGCTGTAGCAGGGTTGGTTGCCAAATTTTCGCCAAAAAATCGCCTAGTTACCATAATCCAAAGATTAACCAAAAAAAAGCACATTTCAAATATATTCCATAAATATTAAGTTTTACCCATAACAATACCTGAAACAATTCGAAATTTTTTATATGAATGATTCCTATTATTGAATAATTATAGATAAGAGGGAAATTATATTGAATAATTAAAGTTATTAAATTTAGTACTCGTTTAGAGTTTATTTCTTACTTTTAAATAGATTATTTACCTTTTTGAGTAACAGAAAAAAAAAAAAAAAAAACTTTGCTGTGCTGCATACCATACTTTTTATACACACCATGTCATTAAAGGTAAACATATGTTAAAGATTAGTCAATTGATATATTTATTAGGGATATATGAATGAATAACAACAAAAATAAGTAAAAAAAAGCTCATTAAAAATGCAAAATACGACAGGAAATATTTTATATTTAAATAAATTTGAGGTATGGAAACCTGAAAAGTTTCATCTTATTACAGCAGAAATAAACTAATCAATTTAATAACCACATCAAAATTATCTTTCAAATGTTTAGAATAATCAGAATAGGTCTTCATATGTTTTGCTACTCCTACCAATAGAAGCAAAATGTTATTCTTTGATGAAAACAAGAGCAGAATGATCGATTTCCTATTTCTGTTTTGTAATCAAAATAATACAAGAAAATTTTTATTTTGGATTCATCTTATAATAATTCTTCATTCCTCTTTCATCATTCCATATTGATGAATAACTTTTACAAATTTGCTCATAATACAATTGTTACTTGCTATAAAAAAACCTCTTGCATCTTATAGAAAAAGAAGGGGTTAATGTCCTTTTTCTATATATAGTTAGTGAAAATGGATTTAATTCACTGTCGTCGGATAGGAACTTTTTGTACTGGTCATTGTAATGGAATATTACTGGCAACTCGTAACAAATTGTAATTAAGTATCAATTGTAGTACAAATTTTTATTTCAGCCCTTAAAAATATTAAACATGAAATAGTCTCAAAACATTTTATATAATAAACAGATAAACATATGATGACAAATGGATGAAGTCAGGAACTATGAGAAGAGCTTACCTCACCATTACTGTCTCTGATTCTGCGATTGAACTCTTTACCATCAAGTACTAAAAAGTCATCACCCGGCCTAATTATTCCACACTTTAGAGCTATAGATCGAGCAGTATTTACATTATCTCCAGTCACCATACGTACGGTGATTCCAGATTTTTGGCATTTTTTGATAGCATCAGGAACCTTTACAAAGTTACCAATTAAAAAATTTAACAGAGTGCAAAAAGTCACATTTTAAAAGCACAATATTTCTATAACATCCCAAAAATTTAACATTTTTCTTCTAAGAATGCTAAAGAGAGAAACCGTCTTATTTCCTATTGTGAAATTTCTTTTGATAAATTGTAATTTCAAGTGCAAATAAACCAATTTAATTTTGAAATTTTATGGCAGAAATTGAAAAATACATTGACAAAACTTTAAATTCTGATATAATAAAATCAAAGCTCACAAAGGAAACATGTAGATACACTAAAATAGTTAAAATTTAAAAAATACAAAGAACAAAATAGACGCAAGATTAAAATAAATAATTGACCGAATTAACAGCTAACTTGGCAATACTAGTACATTAAATGCTGCTAATAACAAACTTTTCTCAACCTTTATAGCAGAACATTTTAAAACTCTTTCAAGGCCTTTCACATTTCAATGTTGGTACTTATGCATTATCTCTTGAACTGTGAAAGTTGGCTACTATTGAACCCTGAAAGTTGGTGGAGATCCCCCCCCCAAACTTTACGTTATTCTTTCAAGCAGAATTCTGAGTCATACTTTTATTTGCAGCTCTTACAGTAAAACACTCATCTGTCACTCTCTGCACAATCTACTTAATAGTCAGCACAGTAGAAGAATTAGCCTACATTGTTTTTGAAACTGTGAAAATTGGCTACCATTCAACCATGAAAGTTGGTGGAGATCTCTCAAGGTTATGCTATTCATTAAAGCAGAACTGAGTCACTTTTATTTTCAATTCTTACAAGAAAATACTCATCAGTTACTTTGCACAATTTACTGAATAGTCAGCACAGTAGAAGAATAAGACCTACTTTGTTTTTGTGATCTGTAAGAAAGCTTTTGTGATTTTTTACTATTTTGTTATAGTTTAACTATGCCGACTGCGACAATGAGCACCAACACACATGCACCATTCAGACTGATTTATTGATGAAATAGGGTAGATGGACATAAATCGTGGAGTTGGGATTTTTTCCATTCTTATTTTTTCTCTGTTTATTTTCACTGCCTTAACTAACTGTTTGATTACACTATGCCTACTTTAATTAACTGTTTGATTACTTTGTGCCTACTTTAATTAACTGTTTGATTACATTGTGCCTTCTTTAATTAACTGTTTGATTACATTGTGCCTAATTTTATACATTTATACATTTACTTATATTTGATAAAAATGTAAGTTTAATTTTGCTACATATATGATATTTTATAATAAAGTGTAATAAATAACTATTATTGTATAATAATTGTTTAATTATATTTTATTGTATAACTTTCATCACAAAGAATTCTAATATAATGATTATTATAATTGAATATACTGGTTTTACAACAAATAATTATTATAATAATACCATAGTTTAAAATTATTATGTATCTTTTTTATCTTCAAACTAAAATATACATACATTAATATGCACTGAAAAAAATGAAATATCTTAATAATTAGTTATAATAATTACACAATAATAAATGATTATTATAGTTATTCAATCAATTATACTGTAATAAATGATTATTATATTTCTTTTTGATCTTAGGGCTAAAATCTATTTGCATTATTATAGATAGTTGAAGTTGGGGGAGGGAATAAAACTATTTTAGTTGAAAAGAAAGGATGAAAATAATTTTTGCATAAAAGGTCATACATAATATTGGTAAATATCATGTTAAAACAAGAATGATCAGGGAAGACATTATTCAAATAGGGTAGCTAACTGTTGACTTTTTTTTAACTACAGAAAGTATATTACTAAAAAATATGTTCTATTATTTTTATATTATTATCTACACCGTTCACTTAAATATGTTCCATTATTTTTAGAGATCTTATTTTTAAAAGTAAGCAATGAAATATACACTGTTCACTTAAAACATTTTTGGTTTCCAGTGTAGCAGCTTATCAATGTGAATCTGCACATTTAGTCAGTGAATATGAAATAAAGGTAGAAAAGACAACAGACGATTGGATCATCTGATGACACTGGGACTTTAACCCCCTTCAGTAATAAATTCCCTCTTTCTACAGAAAAGCAAATCCTCATGTGAACTCCTCAACCTGTAGCACGTAATTAATATACCTTCTAGATGATCCTTAGTGTTTTGGCAGAATGGCAGCCAAGGTTTCATTTGACATGGTTAAACTATAGGCCATACAATTTTACAGGAAGCTCTGTTTAGAATACTATGCAAACAAACTTCCCATAGTTGACTATTGCAACTGGTTACTGTTTTGTTGCCTATATCCAAGTGTCCTCTTCTCTATTAAACAAATGAATTTTCTTGACCAGTTACACCTGAACTAGAACCTAGTTACATATGTGATTCTACAGCCTCAAGTTCAATTTTTTTTTTTTCAAAATGAAATAAAATAATACAGCAATAATAGTTAACTTATATCTTTGTCCGTAAAAACAAAAAGTGGCTTATAAAGAATCAACTGAATTTACATCAAACAAAAGTGCAGATGTTATAAGCACATTGTGATGTTACACTTATCCATTAATGATGCTAAATTGCATTGCTTGATGACAGTTTCACAATCAATGGGATTAATACACAAGTACCTTAATATTTTTTGAGCAGCTTGCTGTTAACTGTTTGAAATTTTAGGCCCATTATACTAATTGCAGTTTAATATAAATATATATATATATATATATATTCAAAAAATTAAACATGATACCATATTTATCTACTTTTTCTCAAAGACAGCTAAAAAAGTCTGCAATATAATTACTGTTTGAATCCACCACTTTTTACTGAGAATATGCTGAAAATCTCCACAACATAAAAATAAAAATTATATTACGATTTATTTATACTTCATATTCATTATCTTAATGGATTTGGAATCATAATTAACAGTTTTATAACAAATACACTTTATTTAATTAGTAGATTTGTATCTATTTCACTTTTTAATATTGCTTGCATTTATTAACTGCATCGTTCTTTTTTTTTTTCGGGGGGGGGGGGGGGGTTAGAATTATCATATTTGGGGGGGGGAATTATCATTTATGAAGAGATAGGTGATACTTTCTTTTTCCTGTATAAAATCAAAATATATTTTTTAAATCTGGAAAATAAATATATTTCTATAAACAAGGAGTCTGAATCTAAGACGCCATATACAGTGATTATTGAAAAATAAAGGCCTTAGTTTTCACAAGCAAGTACAATGACACAAAATGTAATTTCATGTAAATGCAGAATTTTTTCCTGCAAAACTATATCATATACAGTAATAAACTTTAAATTAAATACTGTAAAATGTTTTCAAAATTTTTGTTGAAAAATTATTTCAGATAGTTATCAATGACTGTTTAAAAGAAAACATAAAAAAATTGTAAAATCATCATATGTCATAGTATTTATTACATATTGATGAAAATTAATTAATCATGGCATAATGTATCATTAAATACTGGAATGAATACCCAACATATTTTTGAATCAAATTCAAAATTAAAAAAAAAATACTCTCACATAAAATGATGTAATAAAATAATTTATATTAGCTTATAAATGCTCAAGAAAATTACTGCAAAGAATTATAAACAAATAAAATAATGAACTTGAAAAAAATTAAACTCGGACTCTGTGCCACAGTTGATATGATATGTCCTAGTGAAATTAGCATTTATATACTAAAAAATTCATCTCAAGTTTCCAAAGAAATGAAAAAATAATTGGATTTTCTTTATAAACATTTTATAATAAAGTTAAAATGTGAAAATGTCTAAAAATTAGACATACTTACTTCAGGTCGCACAGGATCCTCAATTCCTACAATGCAGAGGCAAGTCAAATCTGAAATAATATTATCTTCATCTTCCCAATCAACTTCACCATCTATCTGAAATTGATTATGTGCTTGAGGAATGAAAACATAATCCTTATAAGCAATGGCAATGGTTCTCAGTCCATCACAAGCCATAGGCTCAATGATAGTTTTTACAAGTCTGTCTTGATCCTCTTTAGTAAACCTTTCTAATTTACCATCTCTACCAAATATAAAATTACACCTACAAAAAAAAAAGGGGGGAACGTTGATTAAAAATTATCATGCATAAAAACAACACAAAACCGAATATCACACATAGAAAATAATGAATAAGCATTCGTATTAGCAAAACCATTTAAAATTCTATTTTATTTCCTACTGTTCAAATTAAAAAATAAAATACAGATTTTTTTTTAAATCTAAAATTAGAATCTTTTTCATGTATGTACAAAAAGGTAATTGTTTATCAAATAAATAACTCAAATAATTAAGTGTCATGCTCCCAAATAAATTGTTCCCAAGTAATATTCATAAGCTGAAATCTCTCAAAGAACTAAACTACAAGTGAATATACATTATTGACATAAACAATGAGACTGAATAATAATATGCAATTACATAATTAAATTTCTGTTATTGAAAATATCATCAGAAAAAAGGGGAACTTTATCATGTTATTAAAGTAAAAAAATTAACTTTTTATTTTCCTGCCTTGAATGTCAGTGAAATTTTATTAATCACTTGTACTACAAAACCATTATAAATATCTGTACAGTATTATTTTATGTATCAGATACCAGAAACATTTATTATTTTTTTATAGCATTACACTTTTTCCTTCTGAGATTTTCAGCAAGTTATTAAAATCCTTTTATTGGATCTTCCCATATGCTATTTTGCTATTTGCAAGCAGAATTTTCAAAGATTTGAAATACTGATATATCATTTTCAGAACACAACTTTCTTTGAATCTCCCTTCCCCCCAAAAAATATTACTAGCCTATACATATTTACACAAATTATACATCATGTAAAAGGCCACAAAATGGTTTAGTAAAGGTCACAAATTCCTTAAAATGTATTTACTGAGATGCACAATTAAGTATGGACAAAATATCACACTTACACTAAGTCATGAATAAGTATAAATTTTTAGGCAATATTTTGTTACTGCTCATTTGTTTGGATCATAACTTTTTTTGCACAGCATCAACAACAGAAGATGTTGTACGATATAAAGATCTGTTATAAAGTTCATGAGAAGGCATAAATGGGAAAGGGTTTACAACGATCTTACTCGTTTTTCAATAACATGTCAGAAATGCAGAGGCAAGGTGAAATCAAGTAAGTTTCAAAGATATCACAAAGTTTACGTTAGTATTGTGTTTATCAAAGCATTCATCGTTACACTTGAAGAATTTATTTTAAAAGGCTAGCATTTTATGGATATAGCTATAGTAAGGAAAATTACATATGGACTAACAAACAGTCAAAGATAGAAATGAAATGTTCCTCATTATATATCAGAGGCTCCATCTAATGTACCACATTGTACAACTGCACTATTCAAGTTCATATTAACTTATAAAATGGATAGACAATACATGCTGCTGGCAACAAACTTAGAAATCTATATAGTACAATGAGTGATTGTTCAAAACAGCATACTTTTCAACTTCTACTTTCTACTCTCCATGTTGTTTTACTAGATGATTCCTTTATACTGTTAGATTCTTATCAAGAAATATAACTCATGAATTATTTGTTTACATAGCTTGATTTCATAAAACAATTAGATGCACAGTAATATAATATATTATTAACAGTTGTCCAATTTTATTTTTCTAATGGATGATCAATTATCTAACTAAAAGCAATGATTTTCCTAGCAAGACAGTTGAATTAGCATTAATTTCAGGAATAATAACATTAAACAATTTAACGGGATTTGCTGCTTTGTAATCTAGCTTCATGATATATGAATTCATAACAACCCTCTACTTATCATTAGATGAAACTTCAGATTCTTATATGAATTATTTAATCTGTTAAGCAAATGATTATTTATTAACCAATAAAAAAGTATAGCTTTATATGATTTATTCCCCAAAATACAGAGAATAAATTGTGTGAAATAACAAATGAGCCTGATCTCCCTTCAGAGTTCACAATATGGACCGGGAGGAGGGGGTGGGGGCTAGCATCTACTTTGTGGGACATTCTCCAACAAAATTCAAATATACGGAGTAGAACTAGTAAATTTGATGATAGCTGCATTCAGATGTTAAGTAAATGCTATAATAAGAAGCAATTGATAAGAAATTATTGAAATTTCTATAATTATTATTTTCACTCACTTGAAATTAAATATCTTAGAGTTACAGATTTTCTAAGTTTAAAGATAAAATTTGATAGAGCTTACAAGCATATTTTGGAAGAAATAATTGATATTTTCCCAACTGGCGATCTAGTGAATTTCATTAGTTAATCAGTTTTATACTAGATGGTGCCACCTCTTTTTCAAACCCCCCTTTATTTGTAATGTTTATGCCTATTGTTTCTTTCATATGCAATTTTTCCGTTGAATTCCCAGAGAGTTTTAAAAATGATGTCTTCAAATCTTTGTTAATAATTTACTCTTAAATAAATTTCATGTTTACATTACACAGATTTGAAATAAGAGGCAAATGAAGTAACTATTATCTTATGCAGTAACCATGTTTAATTTATCTCTCTTTTTTTATTACCCTGCTTACAATAAATTGTTTGTAACTAGGTTTTGAAACAACTAAATATAGCAATACAAAATCTGTATTTTGTCTTCCTTCCTATCTATTTCATTCACTATATGCGTGAAATTCTTGATATAATCCATATCCATAACATTTAGGGACTCGCTTCTAGCTATATTAATATCGAGTAATTCATTGAAATTTTTAAACCAGCTAGTTTAATTTTTCTAAAAAAATATTTCAACCTTTATAAAATTCTGCATACATATACAACATTTTATTTATTATCACCATCACACATAATAAGTAAATAAAATTCATTTTATAAAGTACTAAACACATTTCTCTTTTAACCGTAGTATTCTTAAGAAAAAGAGATGCAATATAAATACTTAGAACCACTCGGAGTCAATGTTCCTCATTTCCCCATGCATTGGTCAAATATACATGTACTTTAAAATTCCTTAAAATAAATTCAAAACCAAACACAGATGACTACTACTGTCATTAGTACATGTTTATTCTCACATTTTTAATGGAGTGTATTCAGAGCAAATTTCTTCTTGACAACTAGAATTATATTAACAGAGCATGGCTATCAGAAAGAGTTGCTCTTCTCTCTTTAAAGCTATACTTTTCTGTTAAAATTTCCTTTCATATCCTTATACCGTTTCTAGAATTCTTGCTATTCTTCTTAATGGTGCTTTAAATGTTTCATCTCTTTCATTTGACTGCTGCAAAAAAGAACAGTTTTTGTATCTATCATCCCTTGAAATAGCACATTATATGCATAACCATGGCTTAAAATCAGATGGAGATTGGATGAACTACTTCTCAGCGATTCCAGCTGGAGCCGTAAATAAAATGAGGTTCGATAACTTATTTTTTATTTAACTATTTATAATTATTTCTACTGAACCAACTGAGGAGGAGAAAAAAACCTTCCATTAATATTAGAAGAAAATGATATTTTATGCTTCAAAATCGAGTTCAAAGAACTTAACCTAACAATGATTATAGATGGTGGTGTTGTATTTAATTATGGCAAAGCACACTAAGGTTATCTGCCTAAGGGAAGGGATGCCTTCATGGAGGACTTTCTATGGGAAACTGGCTCGTATACACGTTACACATGGAGAAAACCACGAAAACACCCATGCAGCCTGCCCGTTCACGGATTCGAACCTCGGACCAAACTACCAGTGTTCAGCGACTTTACTGCTCGGCCGCTGGTGAGCCTTGATTATACATGGAGATCAAGGGGGGAAAAGTTTCCATATATAAATGCAGCATAAACACAGTTAAGTAAAGTAGATTGCCTATGGAAGAATACGAAAATAATCTCTAACACTTAGGAAATTCCACTCAATGTTTTGTACAGAAAAGTGTTAACACGAAAACAATTATACTGAAGACACTTATCATCTAAAGCTAAAGAAACCTACAAAGTTTAATTGCTTGATTTATACTAAACACAATTTTTTATCTGATATGGTACATTTAATAACGATAAAGTGTAAAACTGGGCAATAAAAAAAGGTAACCTCAGTTTGGGCATAGATTTTGAATAATATTTCATTGGTTTCAAGGGCAGTCAGACTTCCTTAAAAGCAAAAAAAATTTAGTACATCTATTAACATAAATTTTAAAAATTGGTATTCATACACAGCCTGAATTGCACAAACCTTCTGGATGATATTTTTTATACAATTCTTTTCTTCTCTTAAGTAAAGGGACCTACCTATGTCTGATCACCTTCAAAACTGATAAAGTTTTATTTAAAATGTTTGCTATATAAAGGTTTTTTTTTTTTTTTTTTTTTTTTTTTTTTTTGCCTACTTAAAGATTTTATGTTGATATGTTTCTCTTCCATTTAATGTGCTACAATGGCTTTGTTCTTTCAAGCAACATACTAAAAATAAATAGAAAAATCTTTTTACTACAGTTTACTTTGCTACAGAACATGTTTTTTACAGTTATATAATGGTATATTCAGAATATTATTAGTATCCATCTTTGCATTTGGCCTTTAAAGAAATTATGTTTTAGTTCTGGTTTCACCAACAGATGGTGCCACTTGCTTATTCTAGTCCAGGCTTTCTTATCTTATCCAATCATTATTTCCTATCTTGATCATTTGCGGTTTTGCAGCTGAGGATGTTGGTTCGGTAAAGCCATCAAAACTAGTCCTGTGAAAATTTTGAAAATATAACGCTGATTTTTGTTGTTTGGCTTCTGAATTAGTATTTATTCGGCATGTTATTGTGTCTTAATTATTATTAGTATATTAGAAAATATTTTAGCTCTAGTAGTACAATTCTTGAAGTATATTGCAAAATACTGTCAACAAAAGGAAAAAACAAATCTTTAACAGTACCCAAAACTCCTCAGTAAATCATTGATAGATATATTAAGTAATAAAAAATGTGTAGAGTCATTAGGTTATTTTGAGGCCGAAGAGATTAAAAATTAGAAAACGCCTTTGTCGGGAATCGAACCACGGACCTCTGGAATACCGGCCCAGCGTGCAGAACCACTACACCACAAAGGACGTTAGGAAAGTGGGAGAAATACCTTATAAATGTTCCACTGAATTTTAAATTTACAGTAATTTTTTTAATTTCTGTAACAAAGCAGTATTAACTATAAATATATTTTTTTTCTAAGCATGAACATTAATGAGAATTAAGTCACTGGTTTTGATTAAAAGGAAATATTCAGTTAACTACAAAAAGAGGTCACAAGGACTAATAAAGTATTGTAAACAATATTTACCTTTTTAAAACCATTTCTGAGGCTCCTTTTGTAAAAACCCTAAAGCCCCCTTCAATTGGAATCACAGTACTCATAGATTTTCTCACTGAATTAAATGTATAAACTTTATGAAGCTTTTCTTCTGGTATATCATCTCTGACTGTTTGATAATCCTTTCCCAAATCAAGAACGAAAGAAAGGAGAGAACATTCAGTCTTGTTGCCCACTTGTTTTGGAAGATCACCAGGATTGTCAGGAGGCTAAAGAAAATTATATTATAATGGAAATGAAATATACTACTGGAGAGGCTGAATGAAATGTAACTGTTTAGTCATTAAGCAAGTTAATCGAGAAATTTATTTTATTTCTTAAAATAGTTCACATTAATTTTTTCCCTCAATCAAAATCTTTATAGCATTACCAAAAAAAAAAAAAAAAAAAAAAAAAAAAAAAAAGTATTTTAACTGAATTTCAAAGATTGCAGTTGCTTAGTTATATAATAAATATATTGTTCAAAGCCTTTAAATTCATTTGTACAGAAAGCAAATTTCCACAGAAAAAAAAAATCGTCCATCTCATTTTGAAGAAATAAATACTTTGGAGATTACAAGATACTTCGGAAATGACATAGCTAATAATTTAAATATTCAAATGTTAACTTTATATTTTATAAAATCTTAAATATTTTAAATAAATAAATACTTTGGAGATTACAAGATATTTCGGAAATAACATAGCTAATAATTTAAATAATCAAATGTTAAATTTATATTTTATAAAATCTTAAATATGTTATAAAAACAACAGAAATGATTCTATGTATAAACAGAAATAATAAATTTTCAAGTAACTTTCATTTCAAGCACAGTAGTTTATTAACTGAACAAAGCATGAAAGCAAAAAAAAAATTTCCATTCATATTAACTTATTACATTTCTCAAAACATTAATTTATTGCTAAAAACAAGCTGTTAATTACAAAGGAAAAAACATTTACAAAATTATTATACAGTGAGAATCCTTTACAGAACAAAATTTGGTTTAAAGTATGAACAAGTATTCACACAAAGTTTGAATTTCACAGATTTGCTTAATATAGCTAATGCAATCATAATCTGATTACATTTTTTATAAATACTAAAATTTAAGGTCTTTAAAAATATGATAGTAGCATATTAATTTATATATAATAAAAATATGCTAGTGGCATATTAATTTATTATATAATAAAATACGCTAGTAGTATACTTTATTGGTAAGCAAAAGGATATATAAAAAATAGTAATTATTCTCTAAAACATAACAGAAAGAAATATTCATTAACAGTGGTCTCTCATATTCAGTCATAAGATTTCTCTCAATCCTATCCCCCACTTTCTTAGAAAAAAAAAAAAATTTTTTTTTTCTTTTAATTTTGGGACATAAAATGAAAGGCTCTTAATATTATGCTTCTCAGTAATATCTATCCTGCTTAAAAGACCAATCACAGCTCTTTGAAATAGTGTTTGCATCACAAAATGTGCAGGCAAATTTCAGCCAATGAAGTTAATACTTAGTATTTTTAAAGATCAATACTTCCTTCTTTTGAGGCAAAAAAATTATTAAAACTGAAATAATGACAAAATGATACTGAGAAGTTAAAAAATAGTATTCTAGAAGCTATACAGATTGCTCATAAAAGCTGGGATGTTATTGGGAGATTGAAAAAACAATTTTTATTAAGTAGGATTGGAGTCAAGGGGATAAGTGCAAGAATAAGATGTCAAGTTAATGGCGTGGCACAATACTGCTCCAATAGACTTTAAGTAAAATGATATTCATGTGTTAAAATTCACTGAGTAAAAATAAAATAGGCAATACGAAACAGAGTGCTACATTTAAAGAATTGCTACTGAAACTATACCACAGGAAGACTTTTTAATGCACCAAAATTGTTGATTAGAGGATAGGCAATATTGCCAAAAAATGTGAAATAAAGTAGAGAAGTACAAAAGATTTTTTCAAAAGGTCTTTAGACAAAGGTAAAAGAAATGGAAAACATATACATAAAATAGAAATTTTCGCATTTTTTGAAGTTTGCCATGTTTAAAACTGAGTCCAAATACCTCCTCAATTTATTAATAATTTTTGTTAATTCTTTGGAAACCATTAAATCAGAATTTAATTATTTTATTTATTAATAAAACTTTTTTATCAATAATTAGAAATCTTAATGATTTGCCATCAATTTTTTTCCTTCCAGGGGGTGTTTTGAATAGACAAAAATTGTTTCTCCAAGAATAATCTTTATTACTTTCTTAGAAATACCTAAATCAGTAACATAAATTTCTAATTACAATTATTTTAGTCATTAACAATATTGTCTAACAATACTCAATTCCTGTGATTTGCAGATTAAAATAAATAACAAAGTAAGATAATAAGTAATATATAAATATACATCAAAATGTAGTTTTAAAAGTGTTGTCATTCAAATGGCTACAGAATATTGAATCTAATGATTCAAAATTTGGATATAAAACCTCATAAAATTAATTAACAGCTGCACATTTTTATTTTGAAAAAAAAATTATTTCATTTCTATTTTTTAAAAGGAACAAATTTCTTTTGGACTGATAGCTTCGCAAAATTTTCAGGAAACAACATTTTCAGGAGTTAATTTAAAAATCAAAAAGGGTTCTATTTTTTAAAATTAGAAAAACAAGAACCTTATTTTGGCACTGTATTTATTTATTTATTTATTTTTAATATATTAGTTTAGTTCAGTTTCATCCATATATTTATTTTCTGCAATAAGTCCACATTTTCAAAAAAGTATTTGCTTTATATTTCTTTTTGAACACCTATGGAATGCAGTTTGAATTTACTACAATTAGAAAAGCAGCTCTTAACTTGGATCCATATTCATCTCCAAGCAGCTCTTAACTTGGATCCATATTCATCTCATAATCAGTTGGATCTCATAAAATAATTACAGATTCTACTTAGCATATGTTAAATGAATGAATTAACAGTTTAATCTCTATAAAATAAATTTAGACTGATAGAAAACAGAAACTTACATACCATGACTCGTGATGTATATGCACTATTTATAGCTATTCCAGTTACTAATAAATCACCTACATTTGAAGGTAAATTTTCAAACTTAGGTGGCACTTTAAAATGAGTACCTGAAAAAAGTAAATTTTCTTGTAAAAGCAACCGTATATACATAATATATTATGCACATTAATATTAAAATTTGCAACATTTATAAATTTATTAAAAATTTTATGATAATATAGATTAGTGTTCAAAGTTAAGAGAAGTTTCACATTTGGTCGATTATATCCACAACTTACAAACAGATTTTAATGAAATTTGGTATGGAAATTTATGTTAATATAATAATTAAATATATATATATATATATAATAATGCAACAATTAAAGTTCACACACATGATCATATGTGCATACCATAATGGGCAGAGATGGACTAAAATTGAGGTTGTAAGAAAGAACAAATAAGGAGGCTAACACAGAATATGCTCTTTTCTCATACAACTCTCGTAACATTACTTTGATAGTGGAAAGGTTGCAATTTATGAATGCCTGTCACAGCCAATCTTACTACTTCAGCAATGCTGTTTTCAGTTTTTGGAATGTTCTGAAAGGGGAAAGGTAACTTGCATTATCTTCTGAATGGCAATCCAGACATGTTGTACAACAGGGGTGGCCAAACAATCAGTCATGAAGCCCATTATGGTCAATCAGATGCAATGTTAAAAAACAGAAACTGATTACACAGCATGATAAATAGAGAACCAAGTTTTTAATTACAATTAGAGTAGCATTAAGGCATTTTGTTAACAATGTGCTAGCTCAGAGATGTAAATGACTCTGCAACTATTATTATAGAAAAGAGCCTCTAATTTTTTCGGTACAGAACTCTGGCAATATAGATATTTTGATAGTATAGGCTAACATCAGCATGAATTTTATCATGCTATTTCCGGCATCTCAAGTAATCCTCAGGTGGGAAAACCATGCATAAATAACCACAGAGACTTTCCCTTAAGAAAAATCCTTAATTAAAGAGAAACATGAGGCCCTAGCCTCTTGAATTGATAAAGAACTGGTAGCCAAGGTAGAAAGAGCAACATCCAAGAGCCACTGAGGTGGTGCCAACTGTTGAGGCGAATCAACATCCAAGAGGTAGCAGAAAGCCTGAATTCGTAAATTCCATACCTAGGAGAGGCAGCTTTACTTAACATTATTGAAGTAAAATTGAATTAATTTACAGTTCAACTTTTGACTTAACTTATCAAATAACCTCTGCAAGAAATCAAATATTCTTGAATAATCATTGCAAGAATAATCCTTCCTTCATTTAAAAATAAAGTCCTTCGTTTGTATTTTTGCATTCGTCTGCTACCATGATGATTTCTTTAATGAAGGATCTTGCATTAGCAATCATCAACAGCTTGAATATTTCTTTTGCAGGAGAAGAATCATCAGGAGATGGTTACTGCATTTGCATTCTATGGTTTTCAGAGCTGGGATTCTCATAGATTCGTATTTTTCAATAATTAAAACCTTCTTTTGGGATTTGTGGTTGGGGGGCATCTGGATGTTTTGTGACCTTTCAGAAGTCTGATTGAAGCAGGTAATTTAAGACATCCACGAAAATTCAATGGATGGTATTGTAAGCATATAAAACAGGTGGTTTTTTTCATTACTTTTGAGTTTATATGTGTAAGCTAAATGCTCGCCTGAGCAACTTAGGTACTTAGGTTTGCTGAAGCATGCTGATTGACCAGAGTTTTAAACTAAATTTAAATAAATTATTAATATAGAAGTAAATTATTATTTTGTCTGGTGTAAAATAGGACACAGTCTTCGATAACCAGATGGTTAAATTTATATGTATATATGCTTGTTTGATGTCACTGCACAACATTTCTCGAGCTAGTATTACTATTTTGCTCAACAAAATAGAGTTAGATTTATCCACTTTTGGAGCAAACAAGCAAGCATATTGCTTATAATCATTGAATTTGTCAAAATTTATAAATTGCATTAAACATAATGACCATGTTGATTTTCAGTTTTTATCTGTTTATGATAATATTAACCTTTATTTTAAAATTTATTGTAGTGTTTTGCATGAAATTTTTTACTACAAAAATTTAATTTCAAGGTACCTTTAAAAAAAGAGTAGAAATCCAAACAAATCGATACCTTATCACTTCAATGAAGAGTGGGAGCATGATTACTTTTTTGAAAAGGTTAATAATAAATGCTGTTGTTTAATATGTCATACCTTGTAAGATGGCTAAGAAAAGGTAAGTTTTTACAGCGATTTCGTTATTTATTGCTTGAAATAATAGATTTTCTTAACAAGCAAGGTGAAAAAGATTAAATGTTAAATGATGAAACTTACGATTTCAGCATTCTTTACTGATTTCACTTGTATATTAAGTCAATTAAATTCAGAGTTACAAGGTAAGAATAAAACAATTGAAATGATAAGCTGCAGATGCATTTAAAATAAAATCAGTTTTGCTAATTGAAAATCTGCAGCAAAACATTTTAAATAAATCATTTTCCTAACATGGCGGATTATTCATAACAACATAGGAATACTAAATATGATGCTAACAATAATAGTAGATTATGAAATATAATTCCAAAAATATTAAAGAAATTGTGCAATTTACATCTTTTTTTAACAAAAGATTTGAGTGTGAAACAAATTAGTAAAAAAAATTACAGAAGTATTTCAAATGGAGCAAAAGGCAGCAGAAAATGAAACTGCCATTCTACAAATTGATTTAAGTCTACAAGTCAGAAAATTTGAAGATGATTTTTGGAAGTATGTTAACCAAAAAAAAAAAAAAAAAAAAACCCAAGCATCACCATATGTAGCAAATATATTTATTCTAGTTTTGGATCTACTTATTTCTGTGAATCAGCCTTTTCCTATTTGAAGTTAACAAAGACTAAACAATGTTTTGTGTTGACTGATAAACATACTAAAGACTCTTTAATATTGTCTTTGTCAGGACATAGATCTAATTATGATTCCTTGGTTAAAGATATGCAAACCTAATCTTCTCATTAATTAAAAGTAATAAAATATATTCTTTTTCTGTCATTCATTTAAATTTTTTGCTAACACTGCCAATCAATAATTTTGTTGTTTAAGTTTATCTGGATGTTAAATAACTATTTCTTTTAAAATCTAAAATACATATATAATAATAATTTAACATACTAAGTACACCCCTCTTGCTCTCTTTAAAATACGCCTATGACAAATAGTCGATCGCAACATGCATTTTTTAGAACAAAGTAGATCACAAAGTACACAAAGGTTGGCCTCCTCTGTTCTATAGGATTTAAATCTAGAAATCTGCCTAGCCAATCCATACAGTTACTATCCTCTCTTTCTAGACAGTTGCTATCGTTTATAAAAAATGAATTCAGGACCAACTGCACCCTCAAAAAGGGAAACATACAGATCTAAGATTTCTTCTTTATTTCTTATAAAAACCACAGGACTTCTGTCAAAGACACAAAGGTCTCTGTCCCCTTCAACATGATATTGCCCAGACCACCAAACTCTCCGGCTGTACTGGTCTCTTTCTTAGATGTTGGATGACTTCTAGTGGGTCCTTGACTCTCTCCACATGAAGGTACGCTAAAAATCAATAGTTAGGTTGAGCTCAGACTCATCTAGGAAGAGAATGATCTCCCTCTGATGTGATGCTCTCTGCACTAGGTTAAATGAACTCTCTTGCATAAAGAAGCGAGTAAGATACAAGTAACAGGTTTTTTTCAAACAAATATCTCTCATATAACTTTCTCAGAACACTAATTCCTGAAATGTTTCTCCCTGTCATTGCACAGAGATCAAGACAGTTAAAAAGCTGTTGAATTCCTGTTATACTTCACTGATATGGAAACGTAATGGTGAATATCCTTGCTTTCCAGATAATTTTCAAATACGTGGCCCCATGTGGTCGTGCATTGTAGTCCATTAAAATGAACTCAGGGCAAACAGCACCCCTGAAAAGTCATACAAAGGGCTCCTGCCTGTACCTCTGGGCATTCACAGAACCAGTGTCAAACTTGCATGATCAATGCCCAGACTATCACTCCTCTACCACCATATTGGCCCCTTTCAATGATAGCGCTGGGATGGTGTCAGGTAGCAGGTTCCCTCTATATCATTAAGAGCCAAGAATCAGGTTGTAGACTGAAGCTGGACTCATCTGTAAAGAGAACATTAGCCCACTGTAGCTGTGTCCAATATTGGTGTTCTATGCACCATTGTAAATGCTCTCTTTTGTGGGAGGGAGGAAGGGCTTTCTGGCATACATTCCTGTGTCATGGTGCCTTTTGAAACTGATGTTCCTGTGGCAGTAGCAAAGTTACAAAACAGTTGTGTAGCTGTAGACTTTCTCTGCCGCTTGTCTGAAAGTACCGAATACCGGTCATCATTAGTCATTGTGGATCGTGGGCGACACTGTCCTGATCTTCAGGATACTGTCCCTCTGTTTTTAAACTGATTCCACAAACTGGAGATGACACTTGATGTTATGTTCTCTTACAATCTAAGCTTGGGACTGCCCTGCCTCAAGTGTGTCCATGATTCTCCATCTCATACAGCAGCAGTAATATGTGCTCATTTCACCTAATAAACATCAAAGAACAAGATTATGCAAGAAAGACAATAAAAATCACAACTGTGTAGCACAGCAGAATGAGCTGAGCAGCTGGACACAGAATTTTATACCTCCCCTGGCACAGCAATGCCTACAGGAATATGTGAACTCATTTCAACAACACCAGTGCCACAGTAACATTGTATCACAACCAATTTCAGAGGTTTTGTGTGGTATTTTAGGAGAAATGTGGGAAAATCTTTACCATCTTTCAATTTTGTACACCAGTATATATTATTTTTAAAGTAAAAGTTTTAAAGTAAAGTTTTAAAGTAAAAGTTTTTTTGTTTTTAAAGTAAGTAAGAAGCTTTATTCGTTTCTTCCCCCCCCCACTTGTTCACTAATCTAAAAGAAACTTACCACTTCTCATAAGCCAATCTCCTCCACCTTTAGCAAAAAGTATTTTAGAAATGGGGATTCAATATAGCAAAATCTAATTAAGAACTAACTGCAGATGACTGCTTACTCACATTTACAGCAAGTAAATACATATAATTTTTAATTATCGTAATTTCCGGAAGAAACGCCGCGGCGTTTATGTGTTTAAAACTTAAATTTTCAGCCGATGTAGCGTTTCTACCCATGCGGCATTTAGGTGCACTAAAAATGAAATATTTCCTATGATGGTCATTGTACATAAATTGGATGGCCTTGTCATTGTGCATAGACTGGTGCTGTTCCCACATAGAAGACCACCCAGTTGCTTTTTGCGAAAGTTTAAACGAGATCTCAGAACAATAACATTCTTCCCCCTTTCAAATCAACATTGTCATCAGTTTGAATAGTCTCTCTCCTCTGCCATTCGATGAATCTTCCAAGATCCATCCTCTCCCCACCCCTGCCTTTTCTGCAATTTTTTTCAAAGGCGGACACTACTCCACCTGCCTCACAATAACAAACTCTGACGTATTTCCCCTTCAGCATGAATCGATTTTTCTTGCCAGATACAGATCCCATACTTGTTGGATAGTTTTTAAGTAAGAAGGGAGCGGAAAAATTTTGAAAATGTCACCTAAACGGCACAGAAGCTATACTGCTGGTTTTAAGCTTAATGTAATTTCACGTGCTGAACAAATTGGAAATTGAGCAGCAGCTCGAGAGTTTGAAGTGGACGAGAGTTGTATTCGACGTTGGAGAACTGAAAAATAACTTCTTAAAAATATGACACAACGAAAACGAGCCAAAAGAAGTGGTACTGTAAGGTGGCCGAATCTAGAGGACCACCTTGCAAACTGGATAAAGGAGCAACGAGGAAAGGGAATGGCAATTTCGACTGTAAAAATTCACTTGCAAGCAAAATTTATAGCAAAATGAATGAACATAAATGATTTCAAAGGAGGTGTAGCAGATTTATGAAAAAAAAAAAAAAATATTTCTGTGCGTACTACAACAGTCGGGCAACAATTACCAATGGACTGGCAGGATAAGGAGTCTTTTCTAAAATATGTGACAGATATTATTGACAAAAAAAAAACTTCGGTCACAGGTAATAAATATGGATGAAACACCGTTAACTTTCGACTCTCCTGGAAACTAAACTGTTGATGAAACTGATGCAAAAACTGTATCTGTGCTTACGACAGGGCATGAAAGAACGTAATTTACATGTGTGTTAGCCTGTGTCGCAAGCAGTGACAAGCTAAAGCCGACGATCATTTTTAAATGAAAGACTATTTCGAAGGGAGATTTTCCTAATGACGTAATTATTTGTGCAAACGAGAACAGCTGGATGTGCGAAACAATCATGCATGAGTGGCTACAAAAAGTTTGGCAGTGTCATATGGGATCTTTTTTCCAACTAAAAGGGTTATTGATAATGGACTCCATGTGTGCTCATTTACTTTTAGTGAAAACCAGATGTCGAAAATTGTCCACGACCGAAGCAATAATTCCTGGTGGTTTGACAAAAATCTTACAACCGTTAGATTTGTCAGGTAATAAATCCTTCAAAGCTGTAGTCCGAAAGCGGTGGGAGTGTTGGATGAGTGAAGGATAGCATACGTATACCAAAAGCGGTAAAATGCGTAGAGCATCTTATGAAGAAGTTGCGAAGTGGGTAGGAAGTGCATGGAAATCGATTAAAACATTGTCAATAATAGCAGGGTTCAAAGAAGCTGAAATTATATCCTTAGATAAAGAGACTGTAAACCAAGAGGATGAATGTGACGATCTGGAAGACTTGGACTTAGATCAGGATTTACTAAATCTTTTTAATTCAGATAATGAAGTATCAGATTTTGATGGCTTCATGTGATGTATAGCTTGCTGTAATTCCTTTTGTAAGTAAAATTTAAAATTTCTTTTTGTCATTTAAATTTAATATTTCGCAACATTTTTAAAATTTTGCAACATTTTTTTATAATATAGTCTGAGTATTACAAATATGGACTTCTTTAGTGGGTAAACGTAAGTATATATACATATATATACATGAACGCAAATATATTTTCCACATTTCTAACCTTTAATTTATTTCTGTGTTATGGTTTCATTTCATGCATTTTTCTTAACTGATATGTCATATATCAGGACTTAGGTTGAGATTTTGCATCTATACGGCCCATGATGATGTCACGCACAATTTAATCTATTGCAGCATTTACACTGATGCGGCGTTTCTGTGCAATTTTCTGATGCAGACTTTCTTCCGGAAATTATGGTAATAAAAAAGGGTGATGAATTGAAAACACAATGATTAAGGTAAATGAAGTACATTAGGCTGGGTTATTAGCAAATCCACAACAGCTACCTGTCTAAGAGGAAGGATACCTTCATAAAAAAAACTTTCTGATGGAAACAGGCTCATAGTCATGTTACACATGGGGAAAATTATGAAAACCAAAAATACAGCCAGCCCTTTATATTAATGATGTTATACATGCTTAACTAAAAGACACTGATAGTGGGAGCTTTTGCAGATGGATTATCTAACTGTGACCATAAAAAATATGTGCTTAAAAATGTATTTTCAACCATTTTATGTATCAAACTCACCACAGATGAAGCTTTGGACAACAGTCATGCGATTTGTTGTAAGGGTCCCTGTTTTATCAGAACAAATGGCAGTGGCATTACCCATTGTCTCACATGCATCTAAGTGTCTCACTAAATTGTTGTCTTTCATCATTTTCTGTCAAATATGAAAATTTCAGAATGTAATTTTAGCATAATAGAAATAAATTAAAGTGAAATCTGAACTGCATATCAAAAGAAAATTTTATGAACAAAAATTATTTTAATAACTCACCTTAACTGAATATGCTAATGCTAGAGTGACAGCTAATGGAAGACCTTCAGGAACAGCAACAACTAACACAGTTACACCAATGATAATAAATTTGACAAGATAATTCATGTAAAATGGACTCCAAGGGCGAGGATTAATGACAAAAAATTTCACAGCAAAACGAATTACAAGAATAAGAACAGTTGAGATAGCTATCGTTGAACCTAAATGGGAAGAAAAAAGATTTACTTATGAACACACATATATAAAAAAATTCAATTATAAAGGTTCATAATATTACATTCAAGGACTAACTATAGCTTTCAAAAATAAATTTGCATGGAAACTTTTGGAATTCCTGCACAACTAATTTTAATTGAATGTATGGAAATTTCATAATGCCCTAGTATGCTGTGACAAAAGTAATGCTCATATATAGTGACAATCAAATTTTAAGAAAAAATTTGCTTCAGACTGAATGGATTTAAGTTTCCACTTGGGAATTATCAATATATCATGGCTTTTTTTATTTTAAAGTAGCAGATTTTTAAACTAGTTTTAATTACTTTAATATGCTTAATAATTTATCCTTTTATACTTTTGCATATGTGTCTGAACTTTTTACAAAACTGCCATATAATGAAGGAAGCATACTACCAATTCAAAATTTGCAAGAACAGTAAAACATGCTCGGATATGCAAATATTTAGCATTTCACAATGTGTAAACTACAAAAAGAGAAATTAGACTATAAAAGCAGTATATAATGGCAGGTTAAAATGCCTAACTTTCACTCAAAAAAAGCATTTACTTGGTATTTTTTGCACTGAAGGTTGCTTTATGTCTCAGAGAACCGAACTCTACCAGCATTTCTTGAAATTTGATTGAAAAAATTTGTAGTCTACAAGTAAGTACTGCAAACTTTCATACGATGCAATAGCTGTTCACACTGGTTGAGATCTAATGACTGTTAAGAGAATTTGCAATCAGTGGATCCAGGACAGCCTTACACAGAATGTCTGTAGTGTAAAATTTTCAGCAAGCTGACCTTGCTTTGGTTTCCTTTGACACAGCAGCACACGATGCAGCATCATAATTGCCACATCCATGCATCGAAATACCAAAGAGAACAAACACTAAAAACTACATTCTTTATCATCTTACAGCTCAACACCTGGATTGATAACATCATTGGGTACATATTCAATTAATCTCTAACCATATGTGAGTTATCTCTAGTCACTCTGACTAACCACAGTGACAAGAATAAAGTTTTATTTTGAGGTTTTAATGTTAATGGCTACACCATATTTTCAGGGCTTTGCCTTACCTTCAATAGGACAACGCAAGATCGAATATTGCTTGAACTCTCCTTGTTCAAATCCCTGCCTCAGCGAATATGTTTATTTTTCACTAATTCAAAACTTCTAGTCATGTTGTTGTTATCATGCCAGTCTTCTTGCAGACAGACTGGCATGACAACAACTACCAGCCAATGCAACAGATTATTTCTGACACAGAATTAAAGCCTCATGGACTGCAAAAATCCAAAATGCTGACCAAAGTCTATTCAACATCATGCTCAGTCATATTACAACTATTACTGCTGCCAAAAGTTGGTGCTCAGAATACTTGATTTCCGCATATTTTGCACCTCAAAATTATCTGAAATTTTAATTTTTTAAAAAATAAACATATTTGGAAAACAACAACAAACTCAAAAAAAAAAAAAAAAAAAAAAAAAAAGAGAGAGAGAGAGGGATGATTCTGCTAACTTTTTGTCATAATGTAGCAAGTTTAATGCACAGTAGTACATTACTAAAAAATAGGACTTTTTTATTGACATTAAAAATGTATATATTCATAAGCTCTCAATACAATCATCATTGCTGTAATCAACACATCAAGCTGTAAATGAGTATTTTAAAAGAACTGAGTAATATTGGATTAGAAATCATAAAGAATTTACATGAAAAACCAGAAAAACAAAAAATAAAATAAATAAGATAAAAATATGAAACCAAAGTTTTTTACTTTGTGCCATCTTATTCTGCATGTGTAAGGAAGGGGTCACAGCATGAAATAATTAATAAACCAAATATCAATAATGCTTCTGAACAGCACAATAAATAACCATCAGCAATTAAGGATAATTTTTAACCATTATAAAAAAATTCAATTTAATAACATGTACAGTTATCCATTGCTCACTCACTCTAGCATGACAAAATTAACTTCAACATTACAGGATTCTCTAAAATTTTAAACTACTCTCATTTGACATGGTTTTGGTTGAACATTACTGGATTCTCCAGAAATTTTTATGTTGAGGATCAGATCGAGCAATGAATAATTCTTTCTATTGTTAAATATAAAGTTCTTTTAATTTGGCCAAATTTACAAAAATGACCCTAAATTATCAATGGCTATTCTTTGTGCTTTAGAGAAACATTGCTGAAATTCAGTTAATTTACCATCCTGCTGTTTCCTATGAGATGGTATGCAGTAAAAATAAAAGTAATAATAATGTGTAAACATCAGAATAAAAATAAAATTCATGAGAAATTGGAATAAATTGCAAGGAAACTGTAAGTGCATGAATAGTAAAAACTAATACCTCACTACAGGAAACCTAAATATCCTCATATTTCCCTTTAATTAAAATCTGAATAACAAAACTGATGTAAAAATATTAATAAAATAAATAATAAATCATTACTGTTTCTGATCTTGCTGGTCCATTTATGGAGGGAAAAAATTTATGAATACTTTAAATAGGACAAATTATCAAAATTCACCATTAATAGAGAATGAATTGATGTCTCCATGTCTATGCAGCTCCATATTTACAGAACAAAGAATTAAAGAAAAGAATAATATAGTGTAAAATAGCAAAAAATTGCAGATACTGTTGTGTAGATCTGAAATTACCAAGAGGCAGTTAAGAAAAAAATGACAAAATCAGTTATATATGAAAATAATATTCATAAGTAAATCAAAATAAAACATATTCAGAAAAAAATATAGTAAAGTGCAAGCAAATAGACTTAAAACAATCGCACCACGCATGGCAAATATGAAGCAGTTTCAGAAAAAGTAGCATTAGTTGTTTAAATTAAATCGGAAGACTGTATTGTATTAAAAGCTTCCAAGTACTGTGTACTTCAATATTCACACATGTGCAATTTCCTTCTAACTGATTCCAGCATATCATGTATGCTACATTTATGAACATGTTTCCACATTTTTACTGTTATTATTCTTATGTTTGCACACATTTATGAATGCTTTGGGTGATGGAAATTAAAAAATCATCATGAAATCTACATATACTTTACATTACAGCAGCTTTAAGCACATTAAAAAGCCAGTTACGATTTAAAATTTGTCTTTCATGTTTCGTTTTCCTACAAATAATATGTATCTATAAATTAACTGCATAAAGAAATCTAAAAATTTAAAAGAAGTCATATAACTGAAAGTAAAATTTGTGGTTTAAATTCTGTTGAGCATTATAAATATTCTTCAACATAAAAATTCATTTGTTCTCCATGGTTGTGAAAGACTTTTAAGCACCTCAATAAATGATATTCATTAAAAATAATTCATAATATATACAATTATTTACTTGCCTGCATAACCAATTTGTATAGCTAATTTGGTCAGCTTTGTTTGTAAAACAGATTGTTCTTTGCGTGGATTACTTTCTTGTTTCACGGGAACAATCTCTGCACCAGATGCATCTTTATTGTGAGGTTTGGCAGTAGAATCATTTACTAAATGAGAATTTCCAGATACAGCGGCTTCTTCATCTAATAAATAAGATTCAAAGATAAAAACTTATTTACACACAAAAGGCTTCCCAAATTCTTATCTGCATACAGAAGGTCAAATAATAAAAAATTAACTGTAAGGGAATATAAAACACTGTTATTTAAATTTCATAATTTTAATATAACACTCATCAAATTTGATAGCCACTATTATATGAAAGGGGGAAAAGGCAATTTTGAGAATATGAGAAGCCAGTAAATAATGTAATATATTTTATATTTTTAAATAATTTTCAACTAAACTACAAAAATTAATTTTCATAATAAAAGCATAAATTACTAAAATTTTAAGAATTTGGCTTATTTATACATAGCTACAATAAAATGTTTAAAATTTGGTTTCAAAAGAAAGCATTTTTCCATCAGTGTTATAAAGTATGAGATGTCATAAGTTATAAAGTAAAGAAGAGAGCAAACACGAATTCTTAATTCCTTGTTCATATATATGATAAAAATTTTAACAAAATGAATATATTCTGAAATTTTTCTACGAGCTTTGGTTGCTATGTACTCTAAACAAACTTATATTTTACATGAAGATTTTCTAAAAAATTTTTTAGTTCGGGAAATATTAAAATATTATTAAAAATTATTTGCACTTATTTAAAATATTGTAGCTAATTTTACAAATGAAACTTGAAATAATAAATAAACTGATTTAAAAAGGTTTTCATATTTAAGTAATACTTCATTTCAGTACATTTAAAAATGATAGCAGATAAAAATATCTGCACATTAGTAAAATATTTATAATAATATATAAAATTTTATTATATGTGAATAAACACATAATGCCAACCATATGACTGCTGTCTATAAATGGTTACTGTTTAAGTAGCCTTCAAAAAAGTAAAAATGTTTCAGAATATACAAACAAGAACATCATAAAATTATTCATAAAAATTTTTTTCAGAAACCATGCATAATAAGCAAGGTAAATAAAGCTAATAAGAGGAATTAAAAATTTTATGTACACAATACCTGGCTTAAACCAAACATAAAAAATGATTACAACAAAAGGAACATTAAAGCAAAAGAAATATTATCAAGCACAAAGTGGATAAGTTTTATGAAATCAGTTCACTTTTAACATAAAATTTTATAAAGCTCAGAAAATGCATAATGATAATCATGGTGATTATAGGTGAAACATTTGAATTTAAAAAAAAAGATTTGAGATTCGAGAACTCAAATTTTTGCAATTTTCTCATCTTTTGAATATATTTCATTCTAACACCACAACACATTAATTGTTTTAACTTGAAACTTTGGAAAGATTAGATTTACTGCTAACCATCAGAAACATTCACTGAAAAAAGAAAGCCACTGCTGTAATTTTAGTTTACCTGGATCACAGCTGTAATTTCAGTTTACCTGGATCACATAGAATTATGCTTTGACAAGCCTGAGTGCTATATTCTTAATTTTCTAGAAATAATTCAATGTTCCAAGTTTATTTATGTTAACTCTAGAAATAATCATTTCTCTTCTACACTTACTTTGGCAAAAGTGGAAAAAATTTGAAATCAACTGTATTTAATCAAATTAATTTGAGAAAATGAACTTTAAGATGCAAGATATTTAATTATGTAAATCTTTAATTAAATTTTATTGTATCTTTTTAATATATGTAGGTGTATTTTGAAAAACTCTATTCTTAAATTTGTTTTTTATTAAAGGCAAATTTCAGATTTTTCTTTAATTAAAAACTTTAAATACTTGACTTCATTGCAATGAACTGCGAATGTAATGTGAATGCAAAGATAATGACTGCAAGTAAAAAGAATAACAACGATGATGGTAATTTACTCTGAAAGAAATGAATTACTATTAAATTACTGGTTCACATTAATGAAATTTTAAAATAAAAATATACCTCTTTACCATGAAGCACAACTTAATTCTGCAAAATATTCAGAATGTTTTGAAATGCTAAGAGTGAGATGTTAATGCTCAGAAAAGGAGAAGAAAAATAGAGCATACCAGTTACTCATGAAAAAAAAAAAGGTTCTAAGGCAAAAAATGAGTTATTTGAATTTTATGAAAAAATTAATTCAGTATATCATCTTCTTTCACTTTTACATAAAAATATATAAAAAGATATAAAAAGATACAATTTTACAGTTACACCAAAGTAAGGAAAAAAGAAGTAAAAAGAAAAAAACATTTAGAGAAGTCGTGTGACTGACTACATATGATTAACATAGTATTTTTGTAAGAAATATGTTAATCATTACATTTTTCTTGCTAAAAAAAATTTTTAAATTTGTTTTGACTTTTTCTTTTTTAATCATTTATTTTGATATTTTTACTTAATTATCATGTTTACATTAACAAAAAACGCTACTTGAAAATACAAATAACTGAGACATTTACTTAAAAAATAATGTTATGATAAAAGCATTCATATATGTAAGGTAACAAATATGTAAATCAAAATTAACCCATAATTCTCCATCTATTCTAAGATCGTAGCTTTTCTAGACTGCATCATTTCTAGATCAATCCATCTTGCATAATGCTGATGACATAGCTAACTTGGAACCTGAATTCAAGATTTTGAGAACTGAAACCTTTTTGATCTAAACTAAAACCTTCTCTCAGTGTGCCTCCATACTGGATAACTGTGCACTCGTAGCTTCAGCTCTCCTGCAGTGAAGGTGCTTTCTATTCACTCCATTTGCTTTGACGTGCTATAAACTATGCCATTATCTAAAACATGATACTCTACATAAAATTGTGGAGCCCATAATCGTGTGCGATGAAAAATGTATTTTTTGATAGTTAGTTCATATCCACCAAAGCGATATTCAATTTTGCCACATCTGTCTACAAGTCTGTCCTTCGAGTGTCATCTTTCTAACTATGCAGTAATGTATCTCCAGGAAATAATGCAGAGAACTATCCTCAGTCTGTTACAGCTTACTACAAGGTCACCTTTTTACATATATATATATATACAGAAACACATACAGGAAAAAAGAGAGAGAGAGAATTACTTAAATATAATGCTTTAATGTTCCTTTAGCAACTTTTTCATTTATTCTCAGTTTTCTATTTTAGTTTCTTGTTAAAACTACTCAAGACTGATTTCATTTACTCCCAAATAATAATTGTTTATTAACCCCATTATCATTAATAAACATTTTGAAGTTTTATAAGAATGCAGTAGGCTGAAATACAGTTACTGTTTCATTTCCTCTTAAAAATACCATAATATTTGAAAACTGTTTTTCAGCACATGCAGTCATTAAAACTAATAAAATGTTTTCATATATCTATAATGAAATTCAGAATGAAAAACAAATTATTCAAGGAAACAGTTTTCATGAAAAGATGGGGGAAAGATAAATGTATATTTGGTATGTTTGTAAGAGAAATATATCAAAGAGGAGGAATTTCAATCTTAGTTTGAAAAATTGCTTTTCATAGATATCTTGTATAATAATCGGGGAGAGAAAAAGCAATAATAGAAGACAAAGCTTAAAAATATAGAGAGAAAATTGTGCAGATATTAACAGTATTCAAATTCGCAATCCGAATACATGCATTAAGAATTAACAAAATTCTGCAGGAACTTTTACTAAATTTTTACTTAAAAAGCAATCTAAAATAAATGACAAAAGGAAACAAATGAATGGAAAACATACAATTCTTTATTATGTTCCATGCAACATAAATAGTTTCACTTGATACCTAAATAACTGATGGAAAAATATTGCAAGGTATATTATCACCTGAAATGGACACAGGGACTGTCAAGGGTGAACATTCCAATGTATTCTTAGCATCATTATGCCATGCTGTTAGTGAAAATAAAATTGCTATAAGCAACAGTGAAAATTAAACAAAACTATAAGTGCACATATAAGTTTCCATAAACATGCAATTTTTATGATTTTGACATTTTTATGAGTCTAAAATAAATTTGGTGCAGATACTAAACAAAAATAAAAATTGTACTCGAAGCACAAACTATAACATATAACTAGAAAATAAAATAAAATTAACATTGTTAGACATGAAACTGCTGAAAGCATACATATACGGCTTAATCCTTGTTTTAAGCAGCAGTAAAATCATTACTTATCAAACATGTTCAAGTTATTCATAAAAATACAAAATTGAGAATTCATTTTAAAAAGATAATCAAAATCTTGATACAGAAATGGACAAAATGTAACATTTATGGTATAAATCCCCTCCCAAAATTTGATAAATCGTATCATGGTTAATTAAGTGAAAGAAATGAAAATATTTTAACCCTTAGAGTAAGGATAATGGAATTTTATTATTAATACTAAAGAAGACTGAAGTATTAAAATAAAATTCTCAAATGGAAAGCATGACTAAAGCTAAATTAATAAAAAACAAATCTGTTTTCCGATTTCCTGCAAATCTGTAAAACGATGTATGATAAAAATTAATTAAAATGTAGAAAATATTTCTTTTATAGCATTATTACTGAAGAAAAAATTTAAATTAGAAACAAACTGACAAAAACTAGCATAAATATGAAAATACCGTAATTATGAGCTTAGAGTACACATAAATCCTTCTCCCCCCTAAAAATAGATATAAGAAAAAGGATCAGCCAAATTTTCTTTCTACCTACACATTTAGCAATAAAATTAAAGAAAAATTTAAATGATTATTAAAATAAATTCCATCAAATAAAGACAAAATAAAATTTAAAAAATTTAGACATAATAAATTTTGATAATAAATTTTTGATTTTCAGATGAAATTAAAATATGGCTATGATATACATTGATTAATATCAACTTTGCACTCAGAAAAATATGCTTATGCTGTTAATGCAAGTGATTCTTAGAAGTAGATTCAATCTTCTGAATTCTAGGCATTCTAGACTAAATATTTGTTTATATCTAAGATGCAAATAAAGTTTGAAATGTTTCCCTTTTCTTAGCAATTGTGACCCACCTACACATAACCACATTTTATTATGATCCTCACACGTTACTTGTATTGAAGAAAACACAGAGAGAGAAAGAGTAAGAGCTCTGAAAGTTTATTATTGTAAACAATATTATGTATGAAACAGTAATGAATATGTGTACACAGTTACTCTTAACAATTACCCACTATTAACTATTTATAGAAATTAATTGATAATTATAAATATATTAAATTACTAGCAGCTTTGCTGCCAGCCTTCGTCTGGTTTTAAATGTACCGGAAAAATGGCTGAAGGGAACACCAAACGTTAAATTTAAAAACTGTGTAGCATTACTCTGCAGAACATTTTACTCTGCAAGCCTGGAAAGCAGAAGCATAACAGAGATAATGTGGATTGGCTGGTCTTGATTAACCTTCCAGCACACGTGCTATGCGAAAAGTTTACAACAAATTCCGCTTTTAATGCAAATTTTTCGCATATCACAGTTGAGATGTCTAAAGGTGATTTCTATTCCTCATTTCAACCCTTTCCCACACCTTGGAATGTGCCAACAGGAAGCTGTATGAATTTTGGTTTTTTTTACTGGGCTTTTGTGCTAAGTGGCAGCTTAATCATAAAAATTACGACATGTACATGGTCGTGGGTGAAAATTCGGAAAATATTTTTTTCTTAAATATATTCTTAAATATTGTCATTTTTGGTTATTAACTGGCATGTATTATTTTAATTTGTATAAATTCTACTCTATGATTTTTTATATTAGTTTTCATAATGAAAACAATTTGCATAACCAGCTGCTTTTGCTTACATTCTCACAGAATTATCTGATGAAATAAAAGAAGACAAGGAAACATTAGGATGTGAGAATAATAGCGATTTGAATGAGTAACATATCGCAATAAATAATATCTGCAGAGAATCTTAACAATATTGCGAATGATGATGATGATAATAATGATATAAAAAACAGAAATGATGACGATATGTTTCTATGTTGGTAAGAATAAATATTCCAAGTGGCGAAAAGAGAAGTATGCAAACTGCTCGAAGACGAAAAAGATGAATATTATTTATTGAATAATAAGTATTACTTGGCCTAAAACACCATGCCATGGATATAGAGGATGAAATGGGTTCATTTTTGAAAATAATTGATATAAATATCCTTCATGAAATTTTGGAATGTACAAATAAATATATAAGTTTGCTAAAAGGCAAATACTCAAAAGACAGAGACTGTACTGTTACCTCAAGCCAGTTAACATAAAACCATGCCAAAGGATCTTCCTGAAGAATTTATATATTTGTCTTATAAAAGAGAATCTTGATTGGTATGCCAAAATCCAAACACTGCCTTCCATTTCAACATTTCTAAGTTGAAATTATGCTACTTTTAATGATGAAGTGGCAGAGCAATACTCATCGAAACAAGGAACATGCGGTTTGCGTTGTCAGAGAGAGAAAGAGAGAGAGAGAAAAAAAAAAAAGAGAGAGAGATCATCAGCATCTATGGAAATGCAAAACATGCCTTAGCTACACGTGCAAAGATCATTCTGTTACCAAAATTATTTGCATGGAATGAAATATGAACTTTGAACATTGAACAATCTTTAGAATTCTGTTTTTCTATTTTTATTCAACTGTATTCTATTTCTATTATTAGTATTCCCTATTTTCTTTTATTTCTGTTTTTTAGAAATAAATAAAAATATTAAAATTAGTTTAAAATTACTTTTTGTAACTAGTAAGTAAATTTCCTTGCATAAGTAAGTAATGTTAATCTTGTGTTTTTCCCTACCAAGGTGAGTGTAGTTTCCTTTTTTATTTGTCTATACATGCCTTTGATGAGTATTAAAACTAGCTTGGATTTTAAAATGTAGATATTTAATAAAAAAATTTTAATTTTCTATAATGAAATAAATCATTGCCTTTCCACCTGACTACAAACATTTTAAAATAATTTACTTTCATTTCAATGGTACATCATATGTATTTTGTACTAATAAGCTTAATATTTTATTTCTTAACAAATTCGTTATCAACATTTACTCATTTATATTGTTTATTGTGCCAAAAAGGATAAAATAAGAAATGTCGCAAATAATGTGACGCGTACGTGCTCATGTAAAATTGCGAAGCACACATGCTGGAAGGCTATGAATGCTATCTGCAAAAAAAGGAAGATTTGGTTTCATGGTGGACTTTTAAGGGAAAACTAGTTCATATTGTTAAATATTCCAAACAGCACACAAGTTTTATGCAGTTAGCTTGTTAAGACACAAATAAAACATGGAATGAAATAATAAAGAAATCAACTGCTTTAACCATTTGGCCAAAGATGGAACTATGAAAAAAAAAAAAATTATTTGGAAGATATGAGTGCCAAGACAATATTTTTTCCTAAATTGGTTCAGAAATAAATTAAAAAGATTTTATTGCCCATTATTTGGCAGAAGAGTTTATAAGAATAAGTAACATTATTAATTTTGTATTTAGTTAGATAATTTTAGTAGAATTGTAATTAAAACTATTAATTGTATTTTCCTCTGCAATGCAGCACGGGACAAATATTAAGACAAAAAAAAGTAAAAATACAGAAGCATGTGCATTTAACATTTAATAAAGGGGTATCTCTTTAATTTGTATTGAAATTGGATAAATGTACTTGAGTACTGTGTTAGTTGTAACTGTAACAACATCCTCTTACTGATTTCTAGAAATCTCAAGAAGCAGAAATTATTAGAAATTTCTTGCTACCTAATGAAAGCTATAAAAAGCCACAGACAGAAGAGTTCATTTGTTTAGTTAGTTGCTTAGTTACAGTTATTGTGAGTTTGGTTCTGTGTGAAATAAGCTATCTTAATTAGCTTTCTCTTTGTATTGTGTTGCATTTTAGCGTTTTTAGTAGTTTGAAGTATAACTACTGATTATTACTACGTAATACTGTGAACACTTGTACAAATATCTCTGAGGAAAATTCCAGCATTTTTTTTTTTTTTTTAAATTTCTTTTGATAAGAAAATTTTTTATTAATCTTTTATCGAACTTGTGCATTCAATCTATTATCAACCCATACGTATGCAGGAATAATAATTCAAAGATTTAAGAAAAGATACTATCATCTCATAAATAAAGGTTTTATGTACCCATATTGACTCATACTTTCATAAGAATCCTAAAAAATGCTTCATTGAACTCCATAGGAAGAACATAAAGGCTTAAAATGTGAGAATAGTTATAAGATACTTTCTCTCTCCCTCCCATATGCCTTCATGGGGTAACTGAAAGCAAATTCACTTTGAATTCAGGAGGTTCTAGTTTGAATCCAGCTTTGTACTTTTCTTCAGTTTCATGACATAGAATAGTTCTAAAAGACTCTAAAAATGGTACCCGAAATAAAAAGGTGGTGGATGATAATCTGTCACCACCAGGATTTGGCGACTGGGTCCCCCTACCTCCAGTCGCCCTTTAAAAGTGGAGTATATATAGTATTTTCTCCCTACTTTCTGCCTAACTTCTCAATTTAACTGGAAGCATGCTTGATGCTTATTTGGGAAGTCTGGAGGCCACATCCTGGTGAGGGCAATGTACATTTTTCATGTTTCTTGCATCAATAAACCTAATGATGCTACACATTAATTAATAGAACATTTTCAATTGCACATGAAGCACAGTATTTGCTGCTAGTTCACCTAAAAAAATAGAAAATAATTTGAGAAACATTCAAAGATATAGTACTTATTTGCTGGCCATGTGTCTCTGACTAAAAATGTATTTAGTTTGTTTTCAGATTTTTAAAGATCTGGATTACAATAAAGTTTTTAGTTCTTTAAAATATTTGGTCCTTAAATTTTGTAATTTTTGGTCATCAAAAATACCTTA